TCAGAAAGTATAAAATTTAGAGAGTGAATATGAACATTTAACACTGATGAGTTCTGTTGTCTATGAACTCAAAATACTGAAGTTGCCAAGTGAAAAAATAAGTAGAAGTAAAATTTCATATTCATAAGGACATAAATTCAACCAGGCATAGGAACTTTAATAATTTGATTAGTCAGCTAAGTTGTATTCGGTTTTCATTTTAATAAGGTTTAATAATCTTTACTTACAACTAATTTGCTTTCAACCAGATGTGTCAAGTCTATGATCCAGGTCATGTCTGAATATTTGTTAAGCAAGGTACTCATAAGCGCTTTCATGTCATTGAATTTAAGTTACCATTTTCTGAGAATGATGCCTGTTAGGTGCAAGCATCTGCTTCAGTTAGGGAGATATTTAGTCTAAGTATGTTACATTAATAAGAAAACTTATGCTTTGGAAGCACATGGTGGTTTGGGAATAGAAAATCTTCTATGTTCCATACAACTACTTTGTGTGGTATTGGGGCAGTTACTGAAGAGTGGAGGCTACTTTTTAGGCTTTTGTAGTTACCCTAAGCCAGCGGTTCTCAACCTGTGGGTTGCGACCACTTTGGGGGTCGAACGACCCCTTCACAGGGGTCGTCTAAGACATAACAGTAGCAAAATTACAGTTATGAAGCAGCAACGAAAATAATTTTATGGTTGGGGGTCGCCACAACATGAGGAACTGTATTAAACGGTCGCGGCATTAGGAAGGTTGAGAACCGCTGCCCTAAGTAGAACTGTTTATTGGTACATTTGAGAAGACAAGTCAAAGACCTGGAAAAGGGATCAATCAATCTAGTGATTTCTACTCTAATAAGCACTATTTTGAGTTAAGAATGCCTCCCTTGAAAACATGCCCTGCATGCCTAATAGGCTGTTATTTGCCATTATTTTTTCCCAGCCTTCCCAAGATTACAGATAACCCACTAATTCTAACAGGTGGACTGTCTTGGGTCATCAGTGCTGTTAAGGAGCTGCTGTGTAAAACTGGCAGATTCCATCTCTTTATCTTCCATTTTCTTAACCAGGGATGACTTAGATTAATCCCCCTTCTTCTTTCTCCCAGGTCTATTACTTTGATCTTAGAAAATTTCTCTGTGTGTGTCATCCTTTTCTTCCTTCCAGTTCCTGCCCAGTTATGTAAGGAGAAATACGGCTCCCACTTTTTCCCCATTTCTCCTCTTTTCCTTTTCTTTGTTGCAATAGTGAACCAAAAAATGACAGTAATGATTATTGGGAATAATAGTGCTTCTTATCTCAAAAAAGGGGCAGGTTTTGAATTGGAATTTGGTATATGGTATTTCATTTAAGGTGCCAGTGATTGGGAAATGCACTGTTATTATATGGATTACAAAGAAAGAAAATATGAATGTCTTAAAAATCAATGCTGTCAATATCTAAAGCCCTAGAAAGTATTTTGCATGTGCTTTCAGAATATCATAGGCTGAATGACTGTCTTTGTCTTTACCTTAGTGATGAATCTTAGCATTATTCTTTTTTTCCCCACTTTATTGATTTTAGAGAGAGAGGAAGTGAGAGGGAGAGAGAGGTAGAAACATCGATGAAAGAGAACATTGATTGGCCGCCTCCTGTGTGCCCCCCATTGGGGATCGGGCTCACAACCTGGCATATGTCCTGACCAGGAATCGAACTGGTGACCTCTTGGTGCATGGGTCGATGCTCAACCACTGAGCCACACTGGCTGGACTCTTAGCATTATTAATAGAGGACCACAGACAATATAAAAATACATACCTACTTGTGAATAATTCTTCCCCCAAATTTTTAACCTAACTTAGATCTGTCTTCCAGTTTATAGAAAATACAAGGAATAGAGAAATGGTTACATCACACTGTGTAGAAACAATTAGGCACAGTCAGAATCTGAGCTATTCAACAAGAAATTATGCTCCAGACGGTCTGTATGTCAGCATCTTGGGGAAAACAGGGCAGTAGGGATTCAGAGAGACTTATGAGATATAATCAAATGTGAGGTATATACCTTTATTATATCCCAGAAGGAACAAATCAGGTATAAAAGATATTTTTTTGATAATATGCTCCATAGTCACGTCCACTTTCTAAATGTGATGATGAAGCATGGTTACGTTGGTGAATTTGAAATTATTGATGATCACAGAGCTAGTAAAATTATGAACCTTATGGGCAGGTTAAACAAGTGTGGAATAATCATTTCCATATCTGACGTGCAACTCAAAGATCTAGAAAAATGGCAGAACAACCTGCTCCTGCTGGCAGTTTGGTTTTATTATAGTGACAACCTCAGCTGACATCATGGACCATGAAGAAGCAAGGTGAAAACACACAAGGTCCTGGCCAGTTTTGCTCAGTGGTTAGAGCATCTGCCCACAGACCAAAGGGTTGCAGGTTCAATTCTGGTCAAGGACATGTACCTGGGTTGCAGGGTTTGATCCCTGGCCCCAGCCTCATCAGGGTCGTGGTCAGGGTCTTGCAGGAGGCAAGCTCACATCGATGTTTTTCTCTCTCTCTCCCCCTCCATTCCTTCCACTCTCTAAAATTCAATGGAGAAATATCCTCAGGTGAGGATTAACAACAACAACAACAACAACAACAACAACAACACATACACGGTAGAAAATCTTTTTCTAGGGATATAATGCATATGTGCAAATAAAAGGTCTCAGTAGGAAAAAAATGTCAAAATCATCAGGGAAGTCTCTAAAGCAATCAGAGAAGAATTCTCAGAAATCAACATTGAGTTGGAGGGGACTGTAAATACTTTTTTTTCTTTATTGATTTTTAGAGAGGAAGGAAGAGGGAGAGAGAGATAGAAACATCAATGAGAGAGAACATTGATTGGCCGCCTCCTGCATGCCCCCACTGGGGATTTGGCACACAACCTGGGCATGTGCCCTGACCAGAAATCGAACTGACAACTTCTTGGTGCATGGGTTGACATTCAATCATTGAGCCACTCTAGCCAGGCTGTAAATACTCTTAAGTGTCGCCTTATGCTATCACTCCCCAGGAAATAGATGTTGTTAATCAATCATGGCTTTCCTTCCTGTTTAAGAAATGGGGCCATTGACTCCTTTTTAGTGGTGTTCTCTATAGCCAGCCACTACCAGTTAATAATTTGTTGGTACTTGATGTGAAAACTATTTTACCATCTCTTAGTCAAACTCATTCATTTAACAGAAGGGGAAGCTGAGGCAGGGTGGTATAGTGGAAAGCTTTGGGGACACATATGAGTGAAAAGAATTTTCAGGGTTTCTTCATCAAAAGGGTACTTTCTTGCAAGAGTATTTGTTTATGAGCTAACATGTTGAGTAAATTTTATTAGTTTATCCAACAGTCACAATCTTCACCCGAGGACATTTTTCTATTTTCTTCAGATAGAGTGGGAGGGAGTGAGAGGGAGGGAGGGGGGGGGGAGAGCGAAGCATCGATGTCAGAGAGACACATCAGCTAGTTGCCTCCTGCAGGACTCCAACCAGGGCCCGGAGGAACCCAGACTGAGTGAGGTATCTGCCCTTGACCGGAATCGAACCCACGACTCAGTGGTCCACAGGCCGACTCTCTAACCGCTGAGCAGAACCGGCCAGGACTATTACGGCTTTTTTGTTGGATATTAACAATGTGGTATTTTTGTGTGCTGTAAGGCTTCAATAGGACCAAGCTATTTATAGAAACAAGGAGATCTTTTCAAATGGAAATAAAGACCAGTCATTTTGGAGTTCTACTACACAGAATTAATTTTATTCCTTAATGATGCAGTGGCATTATAGTGTAATATAAGAAAAAGGAAATTCTTTTATAAATAAGCAACTTGAACTTATATTTCCTCATATTCTGGTCTTCAGTGCTCACCACCTTGGCCAAAACACAATCTTGGAAGGCCTCAGGATAATTTCCATTCCTGTTCTTCCTAAAATGTGGATATTCTTTGCCTGTGTTCTGTTTACTACTTCTTTGTTTGCCTTGTTCAGTTCACATGAGCTAGTTCTTTTATTTCTAGTTTTGCTTTTCCAGATTATTGCTTTTCCTATGAATTCTCAAGAGATGTAAACATGTATTGCAGTTATTTGTTGTTAGCTAGCACCTGGTGAACAAGTGATTCAAGCCATTTTCTTTTAACATGATTATGTATATGTATAATATATATATGTATGTATTAATATTTCCCCCTATTATTAGATTATTTAGGTAGTATTTTTCACATCTTTGGTATTTATAAATGATCTTTCCTAAATGTTATTAATAACATGGTCATTGGAAGTAAGAAAAATTATTTCATCAGCATAGTTTTGTAGGGCCCATATGTAGCTTAAAATACTTACTTCAGGAAATGCTTTTCTTTAAATATGATGCTCACTATTTAAAACATAAGCCACAAATTTGTTGATTGGTTAGTTTTTTAAAATTTAAGTTCACTTGGCAAAATGGCAGTGATGGAAGATAAGTGACCACCCTTATAAGTTGCTTTGAAAAAAATAAACATTTATTTTGAAATATGTACTTCAGTCTTTTATAAATGAGAAATCCTCCTTTGAAAAAGTTTCACTGCATTTAGATAAGTTGAAGTGAGGACTTATTTTTCTTTTATTTTTTTCTTTTATTTATTTAATTTTTATCCTCACCCGAGGACATTTTTTGCATTCATCTTTAGATAGAGTGGAAGGGAGAGAGGGAGGAAGAGAGAGAGAGAAACATTGAGTGGCCACCACTCGCACAACCCCAACCGGGGCCGGGGACAAACTGCAACCGAGGTACATGCCCTTAGCAGGAACCGAACCCAGGTCTCTCTGGACCGTGGGCTGATACTCTAACTATTGAGCCAAACTGGCCAGGGTTATTTTTCTTTTAAAGATGGACTCTAGCTTCACATTTTTGCACATCTTAGACATAATGCAAATTAAGATTTTGTCATAATTATGTTAATTTTTATTCTTTAGGCAGAATTTTAAATAAAATATTTGTTATTTTTTTTTGCAGGTATATTTGCTTACTTAAACTACCATGTCCCTCGCACAAGACGAGAAATCTTAGAGACCCTAATCAAAGGCCTTCAGAGACTGGAATACAGAGGATATGATTCTGCTGGTATTTCCTTTTAAAAAAATATGATGGGTTTTTCATGAATTTTGAATCTAAGTGGAAAAGTTTTTGTTTTAGGTGACTGGATTCTGTAATAACGTTTGTTTTGTTTTGGGCAAATCTAAAATCTGAAGAATTTTTGTCTTTTATCCTGTTTAAAGGGTTTGTTTATGTAATTTCAACAGTATTATTATTTGTGGTAGAGTATTGCTTCTTATAGGTACCTTATTTTGTTAAAAATGTTACTGTAAAAACAAATTATTTGGGACATTTTTATGGTTGGTAGAACAAAGATCTTATTCTATAGGCCTTATTCTATAAATTATTCTTTTTTTCTTTTCTATAAATTCAATTTAATTTTCTCCAGGTATTCCAGGCTTTTGGTATATAAACTTGCTTAAGAGTCTTCTACCTTAAATACACAACAAAGCAAATAAAAATAACCTTTTCTCAACTTTATGTTCCACTCTAGCTTCTTCCCTTAACTATATTGGAGTCCCCAAGACCAACCTCAGATTGATGATTTTCTGGAAGGATTCAGCATATAATTGTACTCATGGCTATGACTTATTAAAACATAGGAAAACAAAGCAAAATCAGAAAAGGCACAGGGGTGAAGTCTGGAGAAAGCCTGGTACAAACTTCTAAGGTTTCTCTCCCAGTGGAGTCTCACTAGGTACTCTTAATTCCCCTAGCAAATTGTGACAGTTTGTGTGAAATGTTGTCTACCAGGGAAGCTCATTAGCAACTGAGTACCCAAGGTGTTTTTTTTCTTTTTTTTTTAAATATGTTTTTATTGATTTTCTGGAGAGAGAGAGAAACACCAATGTGAGAGAAAAACATCAATCAGCTGCCTCCTGCACTCCTCATACTGGGGATCAAGCCCGAAACCCAGGCATGTACCCTGACCACGAATAGGATCGGGATCTCTCAGTTCACGGGATGCAGCTCAGTTCACTGAGCTACACCAGCTGGGCTGGTGAAAATATTTTAATTCATTTCCCAGAGCTTATGAGTAGTGTATAACAAGCTGATCCTAATTCCTTGGCTCCTGTGTAAAGAGCCTCTCTCTGCCCCCAACAACTGCCCCCTTCCCCACCCACGCCCTCACGAGGTTGGCTGAAACCCCAGAAGTCTCATTGCCGCCTGCAGCCTTGGGTTCCGGTGCCCCCATCACACGGTCTTCGTGCGCTCCCTGCTGCCTGCCTCAGGAAATGACACATCACACCATGGTGCGTTCTCTGCGTTCTCATGGCCTCACTGGAACAACTTCCAGGCTGGACAGGCACTTAAAAGCATAATGGTGCTTCCATGAATGAGCTCAGCACTCTTTGAGGCTATCATCCCCTTCATAAAGGGCCTAAGTGACTTTCCTGTACCACACTGCAGCAAGTTATATGTAGAACCAGACGAGAGCCTTAATATAAACCACTGATCGAACTGAGGGCTAAAATTCTCCAGAACACTGTATAGGAACTCTATAGTGACAGAAAATTTGGACCAGATTCTACAATGGTGGCAGAGTGAATGGAAGCTACACAGACTGTCTCCCAGGACCAAACTGGAATTACAACTCAAGTAAAGACAAATCATCAGGAAAAACCAACAGAAAAGCAGCTGAAGGGATCCCATATAACCAGGAATGGAAAGAGGTCACCAAATTGAGCCTGGAGCAACAGCGAGGTGTGAGAGGGTGGGCAGGGGGCCCATGGACAGCAACTGTTTTAGCTATGAGCAGTTACCTCGGGGTTAAAATCCCAAGCCAGCTCTACAGTGCAGAGTGCTGGGACAGAGCACTGAATTAACTACAGCAACTCACCTTGGGCTCCGGCACAGGGAGGGCAGACTGGACTGGAACTACATGGAGAGACTCAGAAGTTTGAACTGGGAGGGCACTGGGAGTTTTGTGCTGAATCACTCCCTTCGTAGGGCAGAAGCCATATTTTTCAAAAAGCCCCTTCCCAGAGCCCTGGGGAGAAGCAACAGCCCCTCCCTCAGGAATTTAACACCACTGGGCCAGGCCAGAGAAATGAAAATTGAGGCTGATCAGCAGCTAGAGACAGTCAGCAAGCATCTGCCCCACCCACTGGAAATCCTCTTACCCTGAACACCTGAGGGATTTTTTCATTCAGGTGAGGGTTACAACCCAAGGCTCATCAGGTAACTGAGACTAACAGCTAGCAGGCAAAAGCTAGAGGAAAACTGAACGTTTAATTGGCCTGCGAATCTACCCAGGAAAGTAAGACTTGACAATGGTGTTTATGTGGGTCCTCCCACACTCATCCAAACCCAGTAGAGGGAACCACAATCGGTGGAACACCAACACCCGCAGGGAAAATTTGGCAGGCTCCTAAACCCACTGAAACAGTCAGAATGGTGAAACAAAGAAACAAATCCCAAATGAAAGAACAAGAGAACTCTACTGAAGATGAGATAAATGAAATGCAGTTAAGTAAGGTGGAGTTCAGACTGATGGTAATGAGGAAGCTCAACAGCATGAGTAATGGTGTAGAAACATTGAAAACCAACTAGTTGGAAGTGAAGAATGACATAGCAGAAATAAAGAACACATTGGAAGCAATATCCAGCGGAGTAGAGGAAACCAAGGACCGAATCAGTGAATCAGAAGACAGGGCAGAAAAGTCACCCAATCAGAAAACCAAAGAAAAAACAATGAATAAATAGGAAGACTGCCTAAGAGAACTGAGGAACAATGTGAAACATAACAACATCTGCATTATTGGAATGCCAGAAGAAGAAGAAAAAGAGCAAGGGCTAGAGAATGTATTTGAAGAAATAGTGACAGAAAACTTCCCTAGCTTGGTGAAGGAAAAAGGCATTCAAGTTCAAAAAGCACAGAGAGCCCCAAGTAAGAAGAACCCAGAAAGGCCCACACCAAGACACATAATAATTAAAATGCCAAACATTAAAGACAAAGAATCCTAAAGGCAGCAAGAGATAAGCAATAGGTTACCTACAAAGGAAGCCCATAAGGCTATCAGCTGACTTCTCAACAGAAACACCACAGGCCAGAAGGGAATGGCATGAAGTAATCAAGGTAATGAACAAGGATCTGAATCCAAGACTACTCTGTCCAGCAAGGCTATCATTCAAAATAGGTGAAATAAAGAACTTTCCAGACCAAAAAAAAAAAAAAAAAAAAGGCTAAGGGAATACATTAGCACCAAACCAGCACTGCAAGAAATGTTAAAAGGACTGTAATTAGCAGGAGAAATGGGAAGAAAAGTAGAACCACACTAAACAAAAATGGCAATAAATAAGTACATATCAATAATCACCTTAAATGTAAATGGATTGAATGCTCCCATAAAAAGACACAGAGTAGCTGATTGGATAAGAAAGCATGACTTTCTTATCCAATCAAAAAAAAAAAGGCTAAGGGAATGTATTAGAACCAAACCAGTACTGCAAGAAATGTTAAAAGAACTGCTGTAATAAGCAGAAGAAATAGGAAGAGGAACATAACCATAATGAACAAAAATGGCAATAAGTGCATATTGGTAATAACCTTAAATGTAAATGGATTAAATGCTCTGAATAAAAGACACAGTGTTGCTGAATGGATAAGAAAGCATGACTCATATATATGTTGTTTACAGGAGACCCACCTCACAACAGAAGACTCATATAGGTTGAAAATGAAGGGATGGAAACAAACTTTCCAAGCAAATGGAAAGGAAAAAAAAGCTGGGGTAGCAATACACTTCAAAATGAAGGTCATAACTACAGACAAAGAAGGCCACTACATAATATTGAAAGGATCTATCCAACAGGAAGATACAACCTTAGTAAACATATATGCGCCCAACATAGGAGCTCCAAAATATATTAAAAAACTTCTGGAGGACTTCAAAGGAGTAATCAACAGCAATACAATCACGGCAGGGGAGGGGACTTCAATACCCCGCTGACATCACTGGATAGATCCTCTAGACGAAAAATTAACAAGGAAACAGAAGACTCTTAAATAATGCACTAGATCATATGGATTTAATAGATGTCTACAGAGAAATACACCTCAAAACTACAAAATTCACATTCTTTTTAAGTGCACATGGGACATTCTCAAAGATAGACCACATGTTAGGACACAAACTAAGTCTCTACAAGTTCAAGAAGATTGAAATTATATCAAGCATCTTTTCAGATCACAATGGCATGAAACTAGAAATCAATTACAACAAAAACACGTAAAAACATTCAAACACATGGAGGATAAATAGGGTTTTATTAAACAACAAATGGGATACCAAGGAGAACAAGGCAGAAATTTAAAAATTCCTAGAAACCAATGAAAATGATCACACAACACAAAATCTATAGGACTCGGTGAAAGCAGTACTGAGAGGGAAGTTTGTAGCACTACAGGTCTACCTCAAGAAACAAGAAATTTTTCTAATTGACTTTCTAACCCTACAACATAAAGAACTAGAAAGTAAACAAAAAGGAAAACTCAGAGCAAATAGAAGGGAAGAAATAGTAAAGATCAGAGCAGAAATAAATGACATAGAAACTAAAAAATACCCACAAAACAGACTCATCAGGAAACAAAGTGAGAGGACCCAAATAAACAAAATCAGAAACAAAAGACAATCTGGACAACCAATTGGACGATCTTGGCAAAATGTACAAATTTCTAGAATCACACATTCTCCCAACACTGAACTGAGAAGAGATAGGAAACTTGAACAGACCAATAACAACTAAGGAAATTAAAGAGGTAATCAAGACTCTCCCACCAAACAAAAACCCAGGCCTGGATGGCTTTACGGAAGAGTGTTACTGAACATTCAAAGAAGAACTAATACTCATTCTCCTCAAACTATTCCAAAAAATTCAAGAAAAAGGAAGACTTCTAAACTTGTTTTATGAGGCCAGCATAATTCTAATTCCAAAACCAGATAAAGACACTACAAAGAGAAAAAACTACAGGCCAATATCTCTGATGAATTTAGATGCCAAAATGCTTAACAAAATATTAGCATATCGGATCCAGCAATACATTAAAAAAATTATTCTCCATGACCAAGTGGGATTCATCCCAGGGACGCAAGGCTGGTACAATATTCGAAAATCAATAAATGTGATATACCACATAAACAAAATGAAAAATAAAAACCATATGATCATATCAATAGATGCTGAAAAAATATTCAACAAAATCCAGCACCCATTTCTGATAAAAATGTTCAGCAATGTGGGATTAGAGGGATCACATCTCAACATAATAAAGGCCATATATGAAAAACTTATAGCCATCATCGTGCTTAATGAGTGAAAACTAAAAGCATTTCTCTTAAGAACAGGAACAAGACAGGGATGCCTACTTTCACCACTCTTATTTAACATAGTACTGGAAGTCTTAGCCACAGCAATCAGACATGAAGGAAAAATAAAAGGGATCCAAATTGGAAAAGAGGAAGTGAAAATGTCATTATTTGCAGATGACATGATATTGTACATAGAAAACCCTAAAGATTCCATCAAAAGTCTACCGGAGCTGATAAATGAATTTGGCAAAGTGGCAGGATACAAAATTAACATCAAGAAATCGATGGCATTCTTATACACCAATAATGAACTCACAGAAAGAGAAAGTAAAAAAAAAAATTCCATTTACCATTGCAGCAAAAAAAATACGATGCCTAGGAATAAACTTAACCAAAGAAGTAAAGGACCTATTTGCAGAAAACTATAGGACATTGAAAAATGAAATAGAGGAAGATACAAAAAAGTGAAATCATGTACCTTGTTCATGGAAGAATTAGCATCATTGAAATGTCCATACTACTCAAAGCAGTCTATAGATTCAATGCCATCCCCATTAAAATATCAATGACATATTTCACAGAATTAGAACAAATACTCCAAAAGTTTATATGGACCCAAAAAAGACTTTATATACATATATGCATAACCAGTGGATATATACAAATAATGCTGGGGGTAGGGACAGGATTGGGAGGAGGGTGTCTAGGGGGGAAAAGGTAGAAACATCGGTAACAACAACAACAAACATTTTGCTTTATCTCGATAATCTAAGGAATAGTTTTTAAATCGTGCTATTTTCCCTCTTGATTTAGGTGTGGGAGTTGATGGAGGCAATGACAAAGATTGGGAAGCCAATGCCTGCAAAATCCAGCTGATTAAGAAGAAAGGGAAAGTAAAAGCACTGGATGAAGAAGTTCACAGTAATGTACTTAGTTTTATCTTTGTCCCCCTTCTTCTTCCTTCACCCTTTCTTACCAAATTACTTTTCTTCCCATATTTTGGGCCCCATTTAGTGATTCTTGATGTTGAAGGGAGGGAGGAAAAGTAGTTATGTTACTGTCTGTCTATACTGGTTTTAAAATATACCTGACCTTCCAAAATTATCGTATTAATTAGGGAAGGAAATTAATTAGCTACACTGCATTTAGAGCACAATTAGTATTATAAAATGAAGAAGCCATAATTTGTGAGGAAGGGCCTTTTTTTTTTTTTTATCCTCACCTGAGGACATTTTTTCATTTTTTGTTTAGACAGAATGGGAGGGAGAGAGAGAGAGAAACATCGACGTTAAAGGGACACATCGAGTGGTTGCCACCCGCACAACCCAACCAGGGCCGGAGACAAACTGCAACCGAGGTACGTGCCCTTAGTGGGAACTGAACCCTGGGTCTCTTTGGACCACAGGCTGACGCTCTAACCGCTGAGCCAAACCGGCCAGGGCGGAAGGGCCTTTCTTAGGATAGAAATAGGGAATACAAGTTTGTTGATGGAATGGTAGATATCCCTTTTTAAAAATAAACTATAGAATTTATTAGGGTGACATTGGTTAATAAAATTATATAGGTTTCAGGTTAGATAATCCTTTTATCTACATTATTAGTAGATGAGTGGGAGGCTAGAAAGGCAGGTTGTGACTAGAATCACTATCGTGGAATGTCAGCATTGAAACATACCTCCTGCCCTGGCCAGTTTGGCTCAGCGGTTGGAGCGTTGGCCTGCGGTCCGGAGAGACCCGGGTTCGGTTCCCGCTAAGGGCACGTACCTCGGTTGCAGTTTGTCCCCGGCCCTGGTTGGGTCGTGTGGGTGGCAGCCACTCGATGTGTCCCTTTCACATCGATGTTTCTCTTTCTCTCTGTCTTCCTCTCTCTCCTTCCCACTCTATCTGTATAAAAAATAGAAAAATGTCCTCGGGTGAGGATAAAAAAAAAAAAAAAAGAAACATACCTCCTCCTTTCCTGCAGGAAAGTCAGACAGTAGTGGAGAAATTGTAAATTAAAGACATTGTGAATTCTTTTTTTTTTTTTTTTTATCCTCACCCGAGGACATTTTTCCATTTTTTGTACAGATAGAGTGGGAGGGAGAGAGAGGAAGAGAGAGAGGGAGAAACATCGACGTGAAAGGGACACATCGAGTGGCTGCCACCCGCACGACCAACCAGGGCCGGGGACAAACTGCAACCGAAGTACGTGCCCTTAGCGGGAACCGAACCCGGGTCTCTCCGTACCGCAGGCCGACGCTCTAACTGCTGAGCCAAACCGGCCAGGGCACATTGTGAATTCTTAATAAACCACTTTGAAGAACAATGTGGCAGTGTCTGTATGGGCGATGCCTATACCCTTTGACCAAGCACTTCCACTCTTGAGCATATACTTGAAAGAAACACTGTTGACAAGGAGCCATGACAAGAAGATTCACTGCAGCAAAATTTAGAAACAATCTCTGTGTCTATCAGTAATGGAATGGGATAATAAGTTGTAATGATAGTGAATGACCATGTGTAGCTTTTGAAAGGAGTGCATTGGATCTGGTTCTGCATGTGGGGACCTGGAGTAGGATATGTAAGGAATAGGACTGTTTAAAAAAATATCATATGTATTGACAAAAAAGTTGAATGTCCTACAAGGTAAAAAGCCTTTTTCATATCAGGATTTACAGCATTATTGTCAATAAATATTTGCTGCTTCAAAAAAAAAACAACACAAACAACAACAACAACAACAAAAACCCCCCACAAAAGAATACTATAAATTATGAACACATATTAGCATAATAGAAGTTTGAAGGCACAGTGGAAAACGTTTTTCATCAACTTGAGGAATGGGATGGGCAGGGTACCAAAGATGTATCAACGGCATCTTAAAAAAGATCTAAAGCACACATGGTTAGATGTTAACTTTTGTAAACTCTGGGTGTGGGTATTTGGATGTTTGTGATGTTTATATTATTATTCCCAGCAAGTTTCAATATTTTTGACCTGTTAAATCAAAAAGGAAGGAAGACTTCTCAGAAAAGGCCTTTGGATTTGTGGAGTAAGAGGTTATTGGTAGCTTCTGACTTTGATGAGAATAGCTAACTTTTATTGATTGCTCTCTATTCCAGGTACTCTTGTAAGTATTTCATGTGTATTAACTCATTTATTCCTTGTTATAAACCATGAAATTATCATCTTCATTTTGCAGATGAAGAAATTGACAGAGGAGTAGGTACTGTCATTAGATGGCGTTGGCACTAAAGGCAGAGAAGTTTGGGGCACAAAAGCAGGGAGAAGGAGAGCTGCTCTTCTAGGGAGTGACAAAAATTAAAGATTGTTTTTACATTTTATGTCTTTAAAAAGATGTTAAGCACAAATGACTATATGTTGACCTTAGTTATCTCTGGATGTAGGTATTTGAGTCTTTATCATTGCCAGCAAATTTAAATGTTTAACTATTAAAGAGAAGAGTGACATCTGAAAAAAGGATTGAAGCGGGCAAAAAGCCTTAGGCATGAAAGTGGTGGGAAAATAGAGAATGCAAATAAGGAAATTATTGAGGCATTACAGGTTAGAAAGGTGAAGGCACAGGTAGGGGGTTAGGTTTTATGGAAGTCAAAGGTAGAAGAAAAGCTAAGTTAGACAGTTATGAGGTGAGGGGAGAAAGCTGAGTAAAGTGGAAATTGAGGGAATATAGGTAGGTTTGAAGGTTAAGGAGAATAGAAAAGATGTCATGGAACTGTTGGGAACTGAATGAGCTATGAGTTTAACGAATAAGGAATATGGGTACATATTTCATAAATGGCAACAGTGAAATAAATAGTTTTGATAATTACCATGAACTTGACATGGATTCAATTTACAGACTCTTGTTAAAGACTCTCTAATGTTGCTTGCCAGCATGTGGGGGGAGATACTGCTTTAATTATAGTTAGCCTAAAAAACTAGTCAGATGCTTTTATTGCTTTTACTAGCTTGTTAACTAGTGATAAACAGTATCGTTTACTTTTCTGGAGATCATTTATTAGGTCACTTTAATTATTCAGAACACTGGTAAGCCAGGAAAGAATACATTGATGATTATATCTTTTTATTGATGGAGCCATCCAATAAAGATGTGAGTGTCTGCCCTATTTAGCTCTTCGTGCTTATGGTTCAAAGATAATAAGCTGCTGCTTTTGTAGAACTCAGATTCTGATGGAAGCCAGGTTGACAACATGTCATAAATGTAATAAATAGTGCAGTGGAGTTTACCATTGTCGTTTTAATCTTAGGTTCTGGAGTCAACCAGATTTGGATTGAAATCCTATCTCTACTTACTATTCATATGACCCATGGCAGGCAGATTCTGTGGTCTCTTTGAGCCTGAGTTTCTTTATCTGTAAAATGGAGACAACAGTACCCCTCCTCACAGAGTATTGTGAGGATTTCAATAAAAAAATAAATGTTTATTGAGTATCTATTATATACCAACCATCATTCTAGGCCCTGAGAACAAAACAGAACAAGATAGGCAAAACCCCGTGCCATGATGAAACTTACTGTTTAATGAGATAGCCAGACAACAAACAAATATATAATGTTAGGTAGTGATTAGTGCTATGAACAAAAAGAATAGTAGAGGTGACATTTGAGCAGAGATCATGTGATTGTCCAAAAGAGGGAATTCTAGGCAGAGGGAACACCAAGTGCAAAGACCCCGTGTGGGCTTGGCCTATTTGTGGGTGAAAGTGGGGCTAGGGCACAGTAAGTGAGGCAGAGAGAAGTGGGAGATGAAGCTAGAGAGGTGGCTGAGGGCTAGGTCATGCAGGGTCTTAAGGATGATGGATTTTACTATGTGTGTTATGATAAGCTTTGTTATCTGGTAAATTTTATTTTAACTAAATGAATTTTATATTTAGGAAATTAGAAGGAGGGCATTACTAGTAAGTAATTCTTAAGATCAAGGAGCATCAGTCTACAACCCCATATTTTCATAGTGTTACTCTGTTTACAAGGATCTATTCTTTGATTTTGGAAGCTCTCCATAATTGCAGTTTATATTGTGAGATATGTTTGGAGAGCAAAGAAATTATAGTCATAAGGTTGTGTGGCAATGAGAAAATGAATTTATTTTTACATGTCTAATGAAAACAATACTGATTTTTTCAAAGCAAGGATTAAATATAGATTTAAAAGCTTACATTAACTCTCTTTGTCCTTAACTCTAGAATGTGAAAATTTTCAGACCTCCAAAAACATAGAAAGAATAGTATATTAAACACCCATATATTTCATCTAACCTTACCAATTGTTAACATTATCACATGTGCTTTTTCTTTTATTGATATGACAGAGAGAGAGAGAGAGAGAGAGAGAGAGAGAGAGAGAGAGAGAGAGAAAGAGAAAGAAACATTGATTGGTTGCCTCCCGCTCGTGCCTTGACTGGGAATTAAACCCACCACCACTCCAGCCAATTGAGCCACACCAACCAGGGTGCCTTATCTCTTTGAATACAGTTTTTGGTTGTTATTGGAACCATTTGCCCTAAATATTTCAGCTGCACTCTGCATTAACTCTTCCAAATATTTTAATTACTATTTTGAGTATGCCTGATCTTCAGTTTTAATAATTGTATATTTCTGGTGAGCAGCACTGTGATAATTATATTTAAATTTAGCATGATCTCTATAGCATGGTTTAATATTAGAATTTTTCATTTTATCTTTAGAACAACAGGATATGGATTTGGATATAGAATTTGATGTACATCTTGGAATAGCCCATACCCGTTGGGCAACACATGGTGAACCCAGCCCTGTCAATAGCCATCCCCAGCGCTCTGATAAAAATAATGGTATGGACATACTGTACATGCTTTGGAATGATTGTAGAGGGTCAATAATGGGAATAGAGTGGAAGCTCTATGTTTTCATTATTTTAATTTGGAAAATTTCAAACATATTTATATAGAGAGTATATACAGAACCTGATGCATCCATTACCCAGCCTCAACATTTATCAATACATGATCAGTTATGTTTATCTATACCCCCACCCAGCTTATTTTGGAAGCTAATAGATTATCATATAGATAGATATATCACAGGTAGCTAGAAATCATAACATTTAATTTGTTCTTATTTTTTTAAAGAAGAATACTTTCAAGAGAGATTTTTTTTTTTTTTTTTTAATCCTCACCCAAGGATATTTTTCCATTTTTTTGTACAGATAGAGTGGGAGGGAGAGAGAGGAAGGGAGAGAGAGAGAGAGAAACATCGACGTGAAGGGACACATCGAGTGGCTGCCACCCACACGACCAACCAGGGCCGGGGACAAACTGCAACCGAAGTACGTGCCCTTAGCGGGAACCGAACCCGGGTCTCTCCGGACCGCAGGCAGACGCTCTAACCGCTGAGCCAAACTGGCCAGGGCTCAAGAGAGATTTTTAAAAATTTTTTTTCTTTATTGATGTTTTAGAGAGAGAGGAAGGGAGCGGGAGAGACAGAAACATCGATGAAAGAGAACATCAGTTGGCCACTTCCTGCATGCCCCCCTCTGGGTATTGGGCCCACAACCTGGGCATGTGCCCTGACTGGGAATCGAACCAGCGACCTCTTGGTGCATGGATTGACACTCAACCACTGAGCCACACCAGCAGGGCGATAGTATTTAATTTGTAAATATTTAAGTGTATATCTCTAAAAAGTAAGGACTTAGTAGATTGATATGTCTCAAGAGACTTCTCCCTTTCTCTCCTTTTCCTTTGCAGTTTACTCTGTTGTTTGTCCTATAGAGTTTTCTACGGTTTAGATCATGTTAATTGTATGCATCCCATGGGTCATTTAACATGTTTCTCTGTCTGTTCTATTTATTATAAATTGATATAGTGTTTGTTTACAACTGGAGGTATATAATTGTTAAACAGTAACTTTCGAGGTAGAAAAGTTTTTCTGAAAGAAAGGGTTTATTGAGTCACATACTAGTCAGAAAAAGGACCAGTTTCTGGGACCATCAATTTATTTATTATTATTATTATTATCATTATCATTATTTTTTTAATCCTCACCCAAGGATATTTTTCCATTGACTTTCAGATAGAGTGGAGGGGCGCTGGGGGGGAGAGAGAGAAACATTGATGTGAGAGAGACACATTGACCAGTTGCTTCCCACATGACCCCAGCCAGGGCCCTGGGATCAAATCACAACCGAGGTTTGTGCCCTTGCCCTGAATTCAACCTGTGACTCCCTGGTCCTCAGGCTGACACTAACCACTGAGCCAAATCTGCTAAGGTTGAGACATACAATTTAAACCACCAGCAGCTATTTGGGAAGACAAATATGTCCACCATACTGGGATCGATGGGGCTCCTTTATACAGTGAGTTTAGGGAAGAAAGCTGTACGTTATTTTTTTTTTATCCTCACCCGAGGACATTCTTCCACTTTTTTGTACAGACAGAGTGGGAGGGAGAGAGAGGAAGAGAGAGAGAGGGGAACATCGATGTGAAAGGGACACATCGAGTGGCTGCCACCCGCACGACCAACCAGGGCCGGGGACAAACTGCAACCGAGGTACGTGCCCTTAGTGGGAACCGAACCCAGGTCTCTCCGGACCGCAGGCGGACGCTCCAACCGCTGAGCCAAACCGGCCAGGGCAGCTGTACATTATTTTGAAAGAATTTACACTGGCTATAATTAAGGGGGTGGGAATATGCACGTGAAGAGGGCTAGTTCTAGGATAGGTGTGTAAGTAAGGAAGAAGGGTTTGTTACTTTTGTGTTGGTTGTGGTCAACAGCTTGGAAAGTTCATGGGTAAGCAGGATGCAGTATTGCCTGGGGTTGGCTATTCTCTCTAGATTAGAGCTGAAATAGCAACCTAAAAGTTGATTCAAAGTTTCAACATACAATAAGGAATGTGAGCAGTCTTTTGTTTGTTTTTGCTCCTGTTTCTGTTAACTGATTAACTCTCCCTGCCTCTTCTTCCTACCCTTTGGCTTGCTGTAATTTAATTTAGGACATATGAGAATTTTTTCTTGTCATAATATTGGATGTTTTTCTTTGTGTTGTTAGCAGTCATTCATGATCATTGTTAAGATATTTTCTTTAGGGGTTTTATTATTGATAGATTGATTGATTGATTCTGACCTGAGGATTTTTTTTATTGATTTTTAGATAGAGTGGAATGGAGGGAGGAATGGAGAGAGCAACATTGATGTGAGAGAGACACATTGATTAGTTGCCTCCTGCACAGCCCCACCAGGGTTTATGTTCGCTATTAGCTATTTATGATTCTCTTTGTTCTAGCATTAAAGGTTTTTTTTGTAGTAATATTTTGTGGTATCATCTTTACTTTCTTAAAAATCTAGTGAAAATGGTTATATTTATTATTTGATTCGTAATGCATTTAGTCTAAGCTCATTTAATGTCAGGTCAAAATGTCAGATTGTTAAGTATTTTAAAAACATTTTTATAATTTAATATAAAATTGAATTTAGTGGTAACTACTCTCCTCACTTACATAAACTTTAAATAATAAATTCATATTGGTATTCTTTATGTACACTGTCAGTAGATATAAATCATAATATTGTCAACTCTTGATTTTTATATTTTTCAGAGTTATTTAATAAAAAAAGATGAAATTTATTCCACTATCATGTATTTGATGTTGGAATTCTGTTTTAACACTTATCATTTTAGGAATTGTCTGAACCTCAGAAAAATACATTTAATTATAGAACTGAATAATGTTTTTTTTTATTAACTCATTTAACTTTAGTTCTTAAACTCATTTGGTATAAATCAGATAATTGCATTAGTTTGAAATGGTTCTCTCTTTTTTTTTTATCTTCACCCGAGGACATTTTTTTTTGTTTTGTTCAGATAGAGTGGGAGGGAGAGGAAGAGAGAGAGAGAAACATTGACGTGAAAGGGACACATTGAGTGGCTGCCTCCTGCATGACCCAACCAGGGTCGGGGACAAACTGCAACCGAGATATGTGCCGTTAGTGGGAACTGAACCCAGGTCTCTCTGGACTGCAGGCCTACACTCTAACCACTGAGCAAAACTGGCCAGGGCTGAAAGGGTTCTCTTTAATCTTAGGAATGTTCTGTGCATAAGAATGGATGAAAAAAGAAGTGAGAATAATAGTTATTTACTTCTCAATTTGCAAATGAGGACATAGACCCGGGGAACTTGCTCCTTTCACATGTTGACATTTTGTTAGTATTTTAGCCACAACCAAAATTGATGACTCTAACCCCCAGTTTATTCCCCACTATTACCCTGGCACTGTGTACTTCCACTAAAGCCACATAAACTGTGCTGCTGATCTACCTGAGGATAATCTGGTAATGAAAAGTAGATAATACTTGATTACACCTTAAAGTATACATGACACATTTTTTGATTTGAGAAATATCTGTTAATAGTAATGGGTATTTATAATGTTTACTAGATCTGTAATTTTTGGTCATTAATATCTTTATCTCTTTTAGAATTTATTGTTATTCACAATGGAATCATCACCAACTACAAAGACTTGAAAAAGTTTTTGGTAAGTAAAGTGACCTAGAAAGGTACCAGTCTTTGACAGTACTTTTAACGAGAACAGTGAGGTTGTTTGTTGAGTTGTGCAATAAATACTGTGTAGGTGTGATCAAGTGATTTGTAAGACAATTCCAAGGGTATGGTGGTTTATTGGACTTTTCTTTGTTGATAGTGGAACATTTTTGTTCCTTATATGAAAAGGAAACAATTTGGCTTTGTTATGAATGACCCAGAAGTACAAATGAAATTGGAATTTTGGGGGTATGTCTATTGCATTATGAGAGATTTTGTCATTTTTAAAACCTTCTAGGATATGTAAGAAGAATCAGAGCAGATTAAATGAAGGTTCTGTGCCCTACATAGCTATATCCCTATATAGTAGTGATCATGATGATAACCTTCATAGTGGCTTCTCAGGTCTGTCCAGCTGAACTTCCTGTAGTGATGGAAACCTTCCATATCTGTGTCTAAACCTTCCAGAGTGTCAAATATAGTAGCCACTGTCCACATGTGGCTATTGAGCTAGTATGAGTGAGGAACTAAATTTGAAATTATTTCATTTAAATTTAAGTAGCCACATATATCTAATGGCTATACTATTTGATAGTAAAATATTAATAAAGAATTATATTAATTATAGAATTAGTGTTTTATATTATATATTTTATTATATTTTAATTATTTAAAATTTATTTAATATAGATTTATGTAATTATAATTGTATGCTCAGTTACACAGAATACCTCACTGTTTTGGGCTCACTGTAATTAGATGGTGATATTAAATTTGATCAGTGGGTATTGAGGTACAGTGGTTAAAAAAAGATTAGAGCCCGGCTTGTGTGGCTTAGTGGATTGAGCATTGTCCCACGGACTTAGACTTCCCAGTTCTATTCTGGCTCAGGGCACATGCCTTGGTTGCCTGTAGGGCGTGTGCAGGAGGCAGCCGATTGATGTATCTCTGTCACATGGATGTTTCTATTTATCCCTTCTGTCTCTAAAAAAGTCAATAAAAACGTATTTAAAAAAAAGATTAGAAATTGCTTAGTGAGATTTTTGAAGAAATTCTGTAGATAAGATTTGGATATAATGAATACTTTCTTAAATGTGTTGATTTTCTTTCTAATTACAGGAAAGTAAAGGCTATGACTTTGAATCTGAAACAGACACAGAAACAATTGCCAAGCTTGTTAAGTACATGTATGACAATCGAGAAAGTCAAGATATCAGTTTTACTACCTTGGTGGAGAGAGTTATCCAACAATTGGTATTAAACTACACTTTTAAAAACATTTTAGTTTTCAATTACTGTTTATACTCATTATTGGGTATTAATTTCAGGTGTACAGCATAGTGGTTAGATAATCATGTACTTTACAAAGTGTTTCCTCTGATATTTCCAGTACCCACCTGGCACCATACATAGTTATTACAATATTACTGACTATATTCCCTATCTCTACTTTACATTCCTGGGACTATTTTGTAACTATCAATTTGTACTTCTTAATCCCTTTACCTATTTCATGTAGACCCCCAACCTCCCTCCATGCTGGTTAACTAACAGTCTTTAAACCACACTTTTAAAGATAATTATTACCAACATTAATCATAATAAGATCTTAAAATTAAGTTTGAGGAGTAGGAACTATGAATTATTTTTAAATATTTTTGGCTTTTATTTTCCATATATATAACTTTTCAACTTGAATAATTTTGAGAAATTGTTGTATGACTGACGACCCTTCCTTTCCCACACACATTTAAAATTCTACTTCTTTCACTATAGCTTAGTGTCATGGGAATTAAAAGTAAGGTAAAATCAAACAATTTGTCTAAAAACTATGCATTCATACACACACAAACTCGTACATGCCACACAAACATGCATATAATACACACAGTTGGGGACTCATCACTTTCTTGCTTCCTACTCACTCTAGTGTTCTTCCCTGTCTGTAACTTAGCATGAAGGTAGCTTCAGTGAAATGTACACTCTTTATTCTGCGGTAATGTGCATGTCTCTGAGTCAGTATAGTCAACTCCTTCTTTTTCCTTGTGGAAACTTTTCCTTGGCTATAGAAAACTATTTCCCAGTCAAAGAGAAAAGTGGTATTCTTTTTGATCCCATCCCAGTTGCCCTAATTAAAGATTAAAGATCCACAAGAGTTCATACACATAGTGATTTCCACCCCCGTTCCCTCTCGTAACTCTAGCTTTCCCATTTAAAAGCCCTTCTCAATGAAGATCCAACCCTCACCTCCCACCTCCACCCAATCTTCTGATGTCTACACTAAAGGAGACAGGAAGATGGAGAAAATAGAGGTCTGTTCCTTCCCTTGACTCAAGGCAGAGGAGTGTGCCTTGCCAGCCTTTCTTTGTTTCTACTCTTTGTATAACCTGGTTTGTGTTTGTGGTGGTTTCTTTCCTCTCCTACCTCATGTTCCTTCTTTATTCATTCTTGATTTCGTTAGGCCCTGTCCATGAGGAGGTTGGGTAGAGGGGGTGGTATGGTGTGCATCTCCAATATTAAGGTAAAAAAGAGTGTAATTTAACAGTGGTATAAAATTACTGGACCAGAGAATTGGTTTTGGATATTGAACTTGGGATCTTTTCCTTTACTAATGAACTTGCTATCCTCTCTTTACTAATGTATAGTATGGGAGATAATGATGTATTTATTGAGAAATGTATGTTCAGAGGTGACTTTTAAAATGGTATGTTTTGGAGCTATTACCTATTGAATGTATCCGAAGGGTAGTCTTGATTAAAAAGTGGGTCTTGGATACACCAAAGCTCAGGAGGAAGTGTCTACCTAAAATTTAGACTTGCTTATACATTAGAGCAACAGTTGTGTAAATAAAAGAACAGTGGTGTAAATAAAAAATTTCTGTGATAAAGCCAGTATGTTTTAGACATTTCACATTTGATAACTGATTATCATATGTATTGCTAACCCATTTTTTTTTTCTCTCTGTAGGAAGGTGCTTTTGCACTTGTATTTAAAAGTGTTCATTTTCCTGGCCAAGCAGTTGGCACAAGGTATATATGAATTTACTAATGCCTAATAATTATAAGTATTTTGAAACTTTTGAATTATAAGTTTATTCTCTGTTCACTGTAAATGACCCTTCACTATAATGTCCTCTGTAGCAGCTATTCAGTTTTGCTCTTGTAGTGTGAAAGCTGTTGTAGAAAATATGTAAAAAAATGGGCATGGCTGTGTTCAAGTAAACATAGATGAACCTGCCCTGTGGGTCATAGTTTGCCTACCTCTGTTATTGAATATTAATTTGAAATAAAAAAAAATGTTTTTATTGATTTTTTAGAGAGAGAAGAAGGGAGAGAGAGATAGAAACGTCGATGTGAGAGAGAAACATAAATTGGCTGCCTCCTGTATGCTCCCTACTGGGGATCGAGCCTACAACCTAGGCATGTGCCCTGACCAGGAATCAAACCAGGACCTCTCAGTCCATGGGATGACACTCAGTCCACTGAGTCATACCGACCAGGCTATTATTGAATTTTTTAAAAAAAATTTTATATCATTCCTTTGTTATGTCTGAAGTTAAACTTAGAAAGAGAATTTAAACTTTATTTGAAGACTGTTCTGTCATCACATTTAAATTTATATCATTAATGTAATACTAATGTATTATTTGTAAAAATAATTCATTCTGTTTCATTTTGTACTAACAGACGAGGTAGTCCTCTGTTGATTGGTGTACGAAGTGAACATAAACTCTCTACTGATCACATTCCAATACTCTATAGAACAGGTAAAAACTATTCCTACATCATGCCATGGGAAAAACGTATACATTGAATGCAGTAGATATAAAGGATTTTTTTCCTTAAATTGAAATAAATGCCTCTTTGGTCAGGTCCACTCATATACAGTTCTGTCTAGACATGAAAAGTATTTGTTTTGTGATTTCTCTGACAAGTAGAATTTTTTCTGTTGTATATCCATAGCTAGGACTCAGATTGGACCAAAATTCACACGGTGGGGATCACAGGGAGAAAGAGGTGGGAAATGCACTGCATGGATGAGGAAGAATCTTATCCTCTTTTGTTCATTCTTTACTAATTCTTTGTTCTTGGAGTGAATGAATGTGCTGGGCCTCTAAAAATGTGCTTATTTCATGGGGAAACATAGTTTTACATTTTTCTAATTTGCAGAGAATATTTTGTCTGTCTGCTTTTGGCATTTAGAAAACTGCTTTTAGTAATTTCTTTAAAGTCTCTGAGATTTGAAAAATAGTGTTTTTCCTAGGATCCATTGTTATAAGTAAGATGCTAAGATGAGGAGAAGAGTATTGTGTGCTAGACTATTATAGATTGGACTCAATGATAGTTTGAATAATTCTGCCTAAGTTTTTACTGACATAGTTGGTTTTAATGGTTTTTATTTTATGCATGACATTTTACTTTTAGATTTACATTCAATATCTTGATTGGCTTTGTTTGAATTTGGAATTGTTCTTTTTTTTAAATTTATGTTTGAATTTTTTATAGGACTTTCAGCTATACAAACTCTGGAACATTTTATTGGTATAATTAGACCAAGAAAAATATGTGCTGTTTCCAATTACTTATTATTAAAAGTAAATTCAGGAAATTGGAACCATATTATTAATGTATAATTCTTGGTTTCTTGAAAATAATTTAACAAAGTACTCTAAACCTATTCATCTTTAGATTGTGACTGCTTTCACTATTTTATCTGTACAGAAAATTACTTTCTTAACCTTCAGTTCTGAGATGTTGGAATTTCTTCCTCATCCCCCGCCCTCCCTTTTCAGAAGAAAAACTGTCTACCAGTGAGAATACAGATTTTGGATCCAGAGTTCCAGATTTCTTCTGTTAATAATTCTGCTGTTTATACATTACCTTTATGTTACTGTGTACATTGCTTTAAGCTGCTTTTAGAAACAGTAGAAAAACATTAGCTAAGGTCTTAAGAAGTTGGAGGAAAAATTTATTAGAGACAAAAATTTATCTTTTTGAGATCAGGGTTTGTGTTTTAGTAACCCCTCATCTCTTCTAGTAGGTAGAGAGTGTGCAGCTTAACAGAGTTTAATTAAAAAAGAATGGTCTCTTGGGGGGGGGGGTTGGTAGGGGGGGTGCAGAAAGGGAGAAAATGGAGACATCTGTAATACTGTCAACAATAAAAAAAGAAGTATGACCTCTTATTGAAAAGGCTGTGTAAAGGGGAGAACCTGAACTGGCTTTCAGGCTTTAACTACTTTTTTTCCAGGTGACCAAATCAAGTGGGATGATGATAATAGTAGTATTATACTAAATAAAATAAGACAATATAGAAAGACATTTTATAGATTTTAAGAGTCATATATATGTCAGGTAGTAATGTTTTTTTCATTTAAATTAGCAATGATACCTCAACTTCTTCTAAATATTGTAATTAAAGATACCTTGTTACTTGAAGAATGAAATAACCAATATTTGGAGAAAGAATATAGTGAAACTCAACCTTGTGCATTTTATAACCAAAGCTGATTGTGTTTATTTAAAAAATTTAGATGCTGGGCTATCCTTCTACCTATTTTTAAATTTTTTTTCTTTATCAATTTTAGAGAGAGAGAAAGGGAGAGGGAGAGACAGAAATATCGATGAGAGAGAACATGTATTGGTTGCCTCCTGTGTGCCCCCCACTGGGGATCAGGCCCACAATCTGGGCATGTACCCTGACTGGGAATCAAACCAGTAACCTCTTGGTGCATAGGTTGATCGATGGTCAGCCACTGAGCCATACCGGCCAGGCCTTCTACCTATGTAAAAAAAAAAAAAAAAAATTTCTTTACTGATTTTAGAGAGAGAGGAATGGAGAGGGAGAGAGAGATAGAAACATCGATGAGAAAAAACATCAATTGGCCGCCTCCTGCATGCCTCACTGGGGATCGGGCCCACGACCTGGGCACGTGCCCTGACTGGAATCGAACTGGTGACCTCTTGGTGCATGGGTTGATGTTCAACCACTGAGCCACACTGGCCGGGGCTTCTACCTATTTTTTTTTTAATCCTCACCGAGGATACTTTTTTCATTTATCTTCAAATAGAGTGGGAGGGAGGGGGAGAGAGGTAGAGAGAAGGAAACATCAACGTGAGAGAGACACATTGACTGGTTGCCTGCCGCACAACCCCTTTAAGGGCCAGGGATGAACTGCAACCGAGGTACGTGCCCTTGACCGGAATCGAACCTGCGACTCTGTGGTCTGTGGGCTGACGCTCTAACTGCTGAGCCAAACTGGCCAGGGCACTATTTTTTTGATTCACTTTTTTTATATACAATGAAGTTCCTTCTTTTTCATGTAAAATTTTCTGAGTTCTGTCAAATGCAAACAGGTGTGTAACCACCACCACAGTCAAGATACAGAAAAATTCTATCCCCCAGAAAGTTTCCTCCAGCTGCTACTTTTTATCAACTCTTGTCCCCATGTCCAGCCCCTGGCAAACACTGACATGTCTTGTCTTTCTCAAGTATCATCTTTTCTAGGATGTTACCTAGTATTTATTTTTTAAAGTGTGGTATCTTTTCTGCTGTTGAATTTGGATGGGAAGAGCTATTTTGTTTTCATGTCTAAACCTTACTAAATAATCATGCATTGTCGAGAACTTTGGATGTGTGTTTCTAAGAATAATTATTTCCAAGTCTTTATAGACATGCATTTTAGAGTATTAACACAATATAAGTTTTTACAAGTGTATTTATGATATTCTCTGGCTATTGTCTGTAGGTTATAAGGTCTACTATGTTCTGATCTAGGTGAAAGGTGCTCTTTGTCTCTATGACCTTTGTATAGTCTTCAATTAATAGATTTAAAAAAATTTGCTTACTCGTCAAATTTCAGTATGCTTTCCAGTTTTGACTTTAGTTGTGAATGAGCAAAAAGGAAAAAAAAAAAAACTTCATCAATTACTTGATGATTTAAGTAGAGATACCAGAATTCTAAAATGCTAGGATTAAGAGAATATTATCATTGCAAAAGGACCATACTTATATCGACTTAAAACAAATGTTAGAAAACTCAGGTTTAAGAAAGAAGAGGTTCTGGGTTTATAATATTTTCATTCCTTATTAGAGAGTTTTAAGTATCTTTGTTTTGTTTTTAAATTACAGTAATTGGAAACTGTATACATCTTGATTTATTATTCCAATTTACTATGAAAATCTAGAGATATTTTGTTATAAGATAATAAAAATTACTATGCTACCAGTCTTCATTTTATTTTTCATTGCACAATTTTGATATTTTAAATACAATTTTATGATAAGTTTAGGTACACAAACTTACATGTATTCCATTAAGATTAGGCTACACATACATTTTACTAAAAGAGTGCTATTAATGAATTAATTTGCTTTTTACCTAGAAAAGAAATATTATTTAAAAAATATAACATAGCACTATTATCTGTCATGCTCTCTTTGATAGTTGCTATTTCACTCTACATGTTTTGTCTGTTCTTCTTGGCTAATTGCATGGAAATAGGTGCTCTACCGTTTTTTTTTCAGCATTTAAAAATTGCTGAAATTATTTTGTGTTGCTATGGTTTTGTGTTGATTTTGTAGAAAATTATGTATATTTATATAGTAGCCGTGGTTTTCGACATGTTTGCCGATTCTATTAACTCTGTGTTCTAGGCAAAGATAAGAAAGGAAGCTGCAATCTCTCTCGTGTGGACAGCACAACTTGCCTTTTCCCTGTTGAAGAAAAAGCAGTGGAGTATTACTTTGCTTCTGATGCAAGGTGAGCTTCCTTAGTTGATTCAAAGAGAATATTTAGTAAAGCTTGTCATGCTATAGGAAACCAGAAAGTCATTTTGTATAAATCTGGTCATGCTGTATATGAGAACTTTGTTAATTAAGAAAGTGAAAGTGACCATTTTTTGGAGATGGGGTTCTAAGAACACCTTTTCTCTCAATTAAAAGCACATAGGTCAGTAAAGAACAGATAATAGTCCTTGAGACTTGTTCCAGTGATTTACTTTGAGCTCTTATATTTTTTTCCTCTCCTTTTAGGAGCCTTATCTATTATCTAGGTTTTGGAGGGAGGAGAGATTAAAAAAAAAAAAAATTATTTATTTTTAAATAGTTTTTATTGGTTTTTAGCGAAAGAAGGGAGAGGGAGAAATAGAAACATTGATGAGAGAGAAACATGAATTGCCGCCTCCTGCATACCCCCTACTGGGATCGAGCCTGCAACCTGGACATGTGCCCTGATTGGGAACAAACCACCAACCTCTTGGTGCATGGTGCATTGCCCAACGAACTGAGCCACCCTGGCTGGGCTAATTTTTATTTTTATTTTTTAAATTTTATTTATTGATTTTAGGGGGGGTGGTAGAGAAACTTTGATTTGTTGTTCCATTTATTTATACATTCATCGGTTGTATCTTGTATATGCCCTGACAAGGGACTGAACCAGCAACCTTGGTGTATTGGGATGACAGTCTAACTAACTGAGCTACCTGGCCATGGTGGGAAGAGAGATTTTAGATCAGAAAGTAGAATAGTTAGTATTCTACCTATTATAGTGAAGTCATTAAATTGTTGTACTTTCAGTCTAACGTAGACACTTATCTTTTCAATTCCGAAGTAATTGGCAACATAATCACTTTTACAAAGGAAATAGTACTAGACTAAGAGATTCTGAGAGAAAAATGCAGTGGGATGCTTAAATGTGTTTATGAATGAAATACTACTAATAATGGGATAAAATGGAATCATTCAAATTGCTGACAAGTATTTGAGTCATTCATTGTGCCTGTAAGTAAGGGGATCTAAAAATGAAAAAAATGATGCAGTTTAGGACTGCAGGGAATTTATTATCTCAGTGGGAACACAAGCTTTAATGTGTTCTGATTTTTACAGGTGTATAGTCAGTGCTAAGATGTATCGTTGCTGTTATTAAGTAGGTATGTTACAGAGTTGACAGTTATGGCTTAAAGAAGTTGCAGAAACATCTCAGCCTTTTTTTTTTTTTTTTTTTATCCTCACCTGAGGATATTTTTCCATTTTTTGTACAGATAGAGTGGGAGGGAGAGAGAGGAAGGGAGAGAGAGAGAGAAACATCGACGTGAAGGGACACATCGAGTGGCTGCCACCCGCACGACCAACCAGGGCCGGGGACAAACTGCAACCGAGGTACGTGCCCTTAGCGGGAACCGAACCCGGGTCTCTCTGGACCGCAGGCCGACGCTCTAACCGCTGAGCCAAACCGGCCAGGGCTCAGCCTTTTTTTTATTCATTCACTTGTACATTTTTACTGAACACTGGCAAAGCATGTACATTAAGGAGCTCTTAATGCAGCAGTTCTCAACCTGTGGATTACAACCCTTTGGGGGTTGAATGACCCTTTCATAGGGGTCACCTAAGACATAACAGTAGCAAAATTACAGTTATGAAGTAGCAATGAAAGTAATTTTATGGTTGGGGGTCACCGCACATGAGGAACTATATTAAAGGGTTGTGGCATTAGGAAGGTTGAGAACCACTGTCTTAATGGAAAAGATAAATTTTTTTTAATCCTCATTTGAGGATATTTTTCCATTGATTCCCAGATAGAGTGGGAGGAAGGGAGAGGAGGGAGAAAGAGAAAGAGAGAGAAACATTGATGAGAGAGAAACACACTGATTGGTTACCTCCCACATGACCCCGACCTGGGTGGGGATCGAACCTGCAACTGAAGTACGTGCCCTTGACTGGGAATTGAACCCACGACTCTTTGGTCCATGGGCCAACACTCAAACCCACTCAGCCAAACCAGTCAGGGCAAGGAGGAGATAAATTTTAATCAATAGTCACACAAGTGTAGAATTCCACCTCTGACAAGAGCTATAGAATGCTTGTAACAGGGTGACTTACCTGCCCATGGGTAAATTTCTTTAAAGGAATGATGCTTGAAATGAGAGTTAAGGAGATATTAGGAGTTAATTAGGTGAAGAGGTAAAGGAAAGAACATTCGTTTTCTGCAGATTGATCAGCCTGTGAGAGTTTGGGACGGGTGGGAGTGTAGCTGGAACAGAGGAAGTTTGGTGGGAGAGAGGCTAGAGGAGGAGGTAGGGGTCACAGTTATGCATTTTGCTGTTTTTCAAAGAGCCGACGAGAGGTCGTCATGTCATTTGCTGGGGTTTGCTGGATGAGGTAGAAATCCTGATTAGAGTTGCCTTTTAATATCTATTTTGGCAGAATTGGAGAATGGATGGAGATTAGAGGGAATGTGGGTGGACAAATTAGGGAGTTTGCTGTAGTAGTTTAGCAAACAGCTGATGATAGTTTGAACTGCTTTGTGGTGGTGGACATAGAAGATTTGAGAAATGCTAGGAGTTAAAATTGGAGTATTTGGTAAATAGAATGAGGAAGAAACAACCATGCTTTCTTTTAGATCTAATTTCATTTGGTTTGGGTTACTGCATTGAGATCCTTTTATTGATTGTCCACCCCTCAGCATTACTCCCCTGTGAGGAATGGCATTGATAACCAGAAAGCTATCAGAGATATTGCAGGATAATAGAGTTTGTATTTAAATTTGGTTTTTGTGTCCTAATGATAGTTTTCTTTGTAATAATTATCTTCAATAATTGACTGTAATATCTCCTTGAATGTTTTATAGTGCTGTCATAGAACACACCAATCGTGTCATCTTTCTTGAAGATGATGATGTAGCAGCAGTGGTAGATGGCCGTCTTTCTATCCATCGAATTAAACGAACTGCAGGCGATCACCCTGGAAGAGCTGTGCAAACCCTCCAGATGGAACTCCAGCAGATCATGAAGGGTGAAAGCTTTTGTCATATTATAGCTTGCTGTCCTTAATGGAAAGGGTACACTCTACTTCCTGTCCTAGTGTAGGACTCTGAAAACACAGTGCTGAGCGATACCATCCAAATGATTAGTGAAGGGATAGACCCAGGAAAAGGGAAGATTCTTTGAAGAAAATATCTGCTAGTTTTACAATAGTTCTTCAAACTAATTCATAGTTTTTTCTAACATTAAAAAGAGATTGAATATTTAAATAGTACTTGATGTTTTCAAGATAATTTATAAGCATAGTTTGTGTTCTGTTCTTTGTTTTTTTCTTATTCTCTCCATGCTTCGGTTTTCTCATATATAAAATGAGGATAATAGAATCTACCTCATTAAGGTTGTTTTTGAGAATTAGGAGAGCTAATATATATAAAGCCCTAGTACAGTGCCTGGATACATTTAATGAAACCTATGTAATGTTTGCTGCTCTTATCTATTATAATTATTGTGCTTATGGTTTTTATTCTGCTTTCTGGTGGGATTGAGGTAGGAATAAAAAGTAACACTTAATGTAACTGCTATATGGCAAATCCTTACTATATGCGTCCATATTAAAATGCTATGAAGTAGCTGCTGTTCTTATTTTGCAGACTAAGGTATTTCCCCAGAGTAACTTAGTTAATAAGGATAGAGCCTTGATTTGAACCTAGATCTGAAACCAAAGCTTAAGCTTGTCCCACTCCCCTGTTTATCTGTAACTCCATATTATATGTGATTTTTCCTCCTTTTTCATTTTTCTTCACATAGGGTAAAAAGTCATATATGAACATTGTCCTCTATTGCATGACCTTTTGTTTTATTTCATTTACTAAGATTATGTTAAAGGAGATAGACTTTCAGCTTTGTAACCATTGGTTATTCTTTGCCTTGTTAATTTTTGTTTTAATGATATAACTTACATTCCTTTAGGCAACTTCAGTTCATTTATGCAGAAGGAAATTTTTGAGCAGCCAGAGTCAGTTGTAAACACAATGAGAGGAAGAGTCAACTTTGATGACTATACTGGTAATTACATATTAATTATTTTGTTATTTCAGAGTCTCCTGTGGGGGTTGGCATTGACGTCCTGAAAGTTCATTGTCCTTGATAGCCTTACAGAACATATGGCTGCCAGTCATTTAAAAAAAATCCTTCAGTATATTTTGTTTTAATTTTATTTATTTATTTATTTATTTATTTATTTATTTAATCCTCACCCGAGGACATTTTTCCATTTTTTGTTCAGGTAGAGTGGGAGGGAGAGAGAGGAACAGAGAGAGAGAGAGAAACATCGATGTGAAAGGAACACATCGAGTGGCTGCCACCCGCACAACTGACCAGGGCCGGGGACAAACTGCAACCAAGGTACGCGCCCTTAGCGGGAACCGAACCCGGGTCTCTCAGGACCGCAGGCCGACGCTCTAACCGCTGAGCCAAACCGGCCAGGGCTATTTTGTTTTAATTTTAAAAAAATTAATTTTAGAGAGCGAGAAGGGAGGGAGAGAAAGAGAGAGGAGGAGGAAGAGAGGGAGAGAGAGAGAAACATCAGTGTATTGTTCCACTTATATGTATATGCATTCATTGGTGGCTTCTTTATGTGCCCTGACCAGATATTGAACCTGCAACTTTGGCATATTAGGATGATGCTCTAAACTACTAAGTTACCTGGCTTGGATGAAAAATTCCTTCAGTGTATTATTCCGCTGATGTGAGGTGTACCTATAATAGATACATTCACAGGGACAGAAGGTAGATCAGTGGTTACCAGGAGCTAGGGAGAGGGGGGAATAGGGAGTATAGAGTTTCAGTTTGGGAAGGTGAAAAAGTTCTGGAAATGGATGGTGGTGATGGTTGCACAACATTGTGAATGTGCTTAATGCCACTGAATTGTATGCTTAAAAATAGTTAAAATTGTAAATTTTCTGTTTGAATTAAAATGGTAAATTTTACCATGATTAAGAAAAAGTGAATAAACCCCGGCCTGTTTGTCTCAGCATTTAGAGCGTTGGCCCGTGCACAGAAGGGTTGCAGGTTTGATTCCCAGTCAAAGGCATGTACCTTGGTGCAGGTTTGATCCCCGGCCCCAGTTGGGGTTGTGCAGGAGGCAACCAACTGATTTTCTCTCTCACACTGATATCTCTCTCTCTCTCTCTCTCTCTCTCTCTCTCTCTCTCTCTCTCCCTTCCTTCCATTCCATCTAAAAAAATCAATGGAAAAATATCCTTGGGTGAGGATTAACAACAACAACAGCAAAAAGTGTATAATAACTAATGGTTGCTGGGAGCTGAAGGGAGAGGGGAATGGAGAGCGACTACTAATGGATTTGTTTTTATCTTTTTCGGGGGTTGATGAAAATGTTCTTAAATTAAATGTACTAAAAATCATTGATTGTATACTTCAAAAAGGTGAATTTTATGGCATGTGACATGAAAAAGTGGTTATAAAAATATTTTAAAATGGCTAGAAGGTCACATTTAAATATAATTGTCAGTTATGGAGTTATTAGGGAGATTTTTCTGGGGCTAAAAATTATGAAAAACATTTAAGTTCTTTTCAGTTCATCAAACCTTTGTTGGGTACCTGCTGTATACTGGGGATTGTCCTGAGCACTGAGAATTCTAAGAATGAGACCTGGTCCCCTTGCTGGGAAATTTACATGTATCTGCTTAGCCTTGGTTTTCTCTCTCAGTTTATAAATGAGTAAAGGTTTGAACTTCCCCAGAGATTTTTCCAGGTGTTTGTCTGATGCTGTATGGGATAACCTGTACTTTCTTGAGTGTTTCAGGTAGAGGTGAAAGTGCAACCCTGCTCTTACTTCTGGAAATTCTCTCTAGATCTTGTGTTGCAGGACTTTGTGCACCTTGCTGAGATGAGTTTAAGATCCACAGTCTGTGGTCATATGATGTCCATAAACTGTTCATTGCTAAGTTAGGTTTTTAGAACACTATTTCTTTTTTTTTTTTTTTAATTAATTTTTGTTACAGATGTTTCTTCTTTTTCCCCCACTGATTCCCCCCACCCCTCCCTCCCTGCCCTGTCCCCAGCTTTGTTGTTCATGTCCACTGTTCATGTATACATGCATATAGGTTCTGTGGTTTATCTCTCCCCCACAACTCCCTCTTCTGGGGATTGTCAGTCTGTACCCCACTTCCACGTCTCTGGGACTACCCCATTCCTGAGACTGTTATGTTCATTATATTCCACAAATAAGTGAGATCATATGATACTTGTCTTTCTCTGTTTGGCTTGTTTCACTTAGGATGATACTTTCCAGGTCCCTCCATGTAGTCTCAAAGGATAAGAGATCTTTCTTTCTTACAGCTGCGTAGTACTCCATTGGGAACACTATTTCTTCATCGTGACTGGTTTAATAAAACAGTTAAAAAAATAAGCTTTGGGCTAAGTTTCTCCGTGTTAGGAATTAGTTTTTGAGAAATAATAGCAGGTGTGCAAAGATCTTTTTCTGAATCTGTGTGTCATATGTACAACATTAAGTGTCTCCAGACAAGTTCTGCTAATTGATAGGGAATAATTTCTCTGAATAAATACTGTCTTTATATCTTTTTCTTTTCTGAGCAGCATCAGAGTCTTTCTCAGCAGGAGAGATTTGTTGAAGGCTGAATTATGAATTGAACATTGAACGTATCAGGGACTATAGGAGAGTTATCTTTGATATAGTCTTCCCCTTTAGGTTCTTATAATCTAGATGGGGGATGAATATATAATTAACTATTTAAGGAAAGGTAAAATGTAATAAATAGCATTAGAAATAGTTTAATGTTGAAATGTTTAAAAATGAATGTTGAAGTTAGAGAAAGAGAATGAATTTGTGGTCAGGGGCTTTGGGGGTAGGAAGGCTTCATGAAGTAGGCAGTTGTGGGGGTTTAAGAGATTGGGAATATATAAATAGGTGAAGATAAGGTGGAGCCATTGTAATTGGATAGAACAATACTAACTAAGGGAATATAGTGGAATCCACCAGAAAGCTCTTTGTGCACTAATATATGGCCTAGTTTGTCTGCTCCATCTAGTGCCTGAAGAGGAGTAAAGGACAGTAAGTCTAGGAAAGAAGGTGAGAGGAACTGCCAAGGAGGGCCTAGAATGCATTCTAACTTGGTGTGTGTGGAGGTGTGCGTGGGGCACCTCTATTTGTAAAAACTGCAGAGCTTTTAGGAGACTTAGGAGCCAAGGGTGATGATAGATTTACTGAGGTGAACTGGCTACCAGTCTCCAGTGTGCAGCATCAGAGGAGCAAGTGGCTGAGATGCAGTTGCCAGTTAGGATGTTGTCCTATCTGGGGTAAAGTGATAGGGAAAGGGAGGGAAGTGGGGAACAGGAGAGAAGAGGAGCAATCTAAACCAGGACCTGTATCTGCTTATGTGGGGAGAAGGCATTGTTTAAGATGGGTGAGCTGGAAGAATTGGGAGAGTAGCAGTAAATACCATTTATGTCTTTATGGAAATAAGATCAGAAAAAAAAAAAAAGATTTGTTTTATAAGGGAAAATAAGAAGACAAACTTTGAGAAGTCATGATTTAAAAAGCACTTTTATCAATGTTATGTTTCTTATCAAAATTCTATAATAGAAACAGGATAGTTATCTTTTTTTATTGTTAGAATAAGGAAATAGAAGCTCTGTCAATTTAAAGCATCTTGCCCAAGGTCTTATCACTAGCCATTTATGGAGCCAGACCAGCCTCCTGTGTCAGTAGTGTTCCTGAGTATGCTCCATCCCCACCCTGCCTTCTAGGCACTCTTGCTGCTTCCAGCAGCTGTGGCCTGCCTTACCACAATTAAGATTCTCTCCAGAGCATCATCAATTCTGACTTTAGCAACTCTCAGAACTACCTCAAACGTCCCTCAGCCATAAGGGAATTTGCTAGGACTAATTTTAGGGAAACACCTGTGACGAGTTAATCTCACCATCTTACTTCCCTGTCATTTTTTTTTCTCTATCGATTTGAGAGAGAGAAGGGGAGAGAGGGAGAGAGATAGAACATTGATTGGCTGCCTTCTGCACGCCCACACTGGGGATTGGGCCCACAACCTGGGCATGTGCCCTGACCAGGAACCTAACCGGTGATGGTTCCCGGTGCATGGGTCAACGCTCAACCACTGAGCCACACCGGCTGGGCTTCCCTGTCATTTTTGACAATCATCTGAAATACAAGTCTCTTTGACAGGCTATCTGCTTTTCTACTGAGTCATCTCCAAACTGATTGGCCTTTGCACAACCCTGGCCCAACCTCTTATTATTGTTTCCTTTCTTCACAAACCTTTTTACTACCTGCTGAGGTCTGTAGAAGAACACTGTAGGCAGAAGTACATGAATAGGATTGGTCTACTATAGGAACAGCCAGAAGGCCAGTTTGGCTGGTGTGGCCTGGGTGAGAAGGGAAGTGTTAGGAGATTAGGTCAGAGTTAAGCAGGAGACAAGGCGTGTGAAGACTTGAAGACCATAATAAGGGGTTTGGATTCTGTTCTAAGTTATTTGGGAAGCCAGAGAAACTTCCGAGTTGTTTTATTTTCCACTTTACTAATTTTTAAAAATAAATATAGTATGTATAAAAGGAAGAACATAAAATTATTCAAAAAACAAAAAACAAAAACAAAACATATACCTTGCTTCCATATTTTAGCCAGTTAAGGTAGAAAAAAGGGTGGGGAGATGAAGAACAGGGACAAAGTAGGAGGATGCGTGGTGGGTCAGATGCAGAAGGATGATGCCTGGGTGTGCACGTCTGTCTCCTCAGCCAGACTCTGAACTGTCGGAGTAGAGAACTCTGGTAGCCACACAGTGCCTTACACAGTACATTCACTTGGTGGGTGCTTAATAAATATTAGTTTAAAATTGAATAAATCTTGAATGAAAATTTCTCACAGGTAGAAAACTAGCCTGTATAGAAGGGTTCATAGATAAGGTACTCTTAGAAGAAAACATACATAACTATAAAGACAGAAGGAGAAGGACAGATTTGTTAAGAGGGTTTTGATATCAGATTCATGTTTTTAATTTTATATTTAGTTTTTAGAGAGGAAGGGAGAGGGAGATAGAAAATTGATGTGAGGGAGAAACATGGATTGGCTGCCTCCTGCCTACTGGAGATTGAGCCTGCAACCCAGGCATGTGCCCTCACCGGGAATCAGACCAGGACCTCTCAGTCCATGGGATGAAGCTCAATCCACTGAGCCACACCAGCTGGGCCAGATTTATGTTTTTACAGAATCACTCTAAAAGATTATTTTGGCTGTGTGTGGAGAACAGGCTGTAGGAGGTGGAAAACAAAAGAGAGAATAGTTAGTTAGAAAGTTCGTCTCATCCAGGGGATAGGTATTGGACTGGGACGATAGTATTAAAGGTACAATTTGAAGGTGGAGCTCCCAGGACTTGTACGTGGAGTGGCTGTGGAGGTGGGATAGGAACAATGAGGATAACTCTGATGTTAGGAGAATGAGATGGGGAAGACTGAGAGGAGATTGGATTTATATTATGTTCAGAACACTGTTCTGGGTACTGTAGGGGAAATGAACATAACTAAGACAATTTTTTTTCCAAGCAGGCTTATTGAGATTATAATTAGATATAATAAAATTGACTGTTCTTAATGTATAATTCAGTGAGTTTCAACAAACTTCCATAATATGGTCATAATGCTGACCTCTACAACAGTGAAGACATAGCACAGTTCTATCATCCTAAAAAGTCCTTGTGTCCTTTGTAGTCAGCCCCTTCCCCACCTCCAGACATCAGCATCTACTGACTTGTCTGTGTCTCTATAGTTTTGCCTCTAGGATAACTATTAATGTAAAGAAAGGAATGTAAAAATGACCAAACAAGTTAAAGTGTGATAAATACTGTCGTTGTGTGGGCATGTTGGAGTGGGGTGAGTAAGGTGATTACAAGTCTGGGGAGATGAGTTAAGTTGTGTTTCATTTAAATTATTTATTTATTTATTTTCCCAAATCTTTATTGTTGGATGTAAAATGTATTACAGATGTTCCACATTTTCCCCCCATTGACCCCCTCCTCCCCACTCCCGCCCCCCTCCCACCTTTTCCCACACTATTGTCTGTGTCCATTGGTTATGCATATAAGTTCTTTGGTTTATTTCTTCCCAACCCCCCAACCCCTTTCCCTTTGAGGTTTGTCAGTCTAGCAATGAGTTTGTGCTTCTTAATCCCTTCACCTTTTTCACCCATTCCCCCAACCCCCTTCCCAACTGGCAACCAATAAAATGTTCTCTGTATCTATGAGAATGTTTCTGTTCTTCCTGTTCATTTTGTTTGTAGATTCCATTGTTGATAGATATGTATTCATTGCCATTTTGTTTGTTCATACATTTTATCTTTTTCTTCAAAAAGACCCTTCATCATTTCATATAATAACGGTTTGGTGGTGATGAACTCCTTTAACTTTTTCTTGTCTGGGAAAGTTTTTGTATGTCCATCGATTCTAAATGACAGCTTTGCAGGATAGAGTAATTTTGGTTGTAGGTTCTTGGTTTTCATCACTCTGAATATTTCTTGCCACTCCCTTCTGGCCTGCAAAGTTTCTTTTGAGAAATCAGCTGACAGCCTAATGGGTACTCCCTTGTAGGTAACTAGCTGCCTTTCTCTTGCTGCTTTTAATATTCTCTCTTTGTCTTGAACCTTTTGCATTTTGATGATGATGTGTCTTGGTGTGGGCCTCTTGGGGTTCATCTTGTTTGGGACTCTCTGTGCTTCCTGGACTTGTATGTCTGTTTCCTTCACCAAGTTAGGAAAGTTTTCTGCCATTATTGTTTCAAACAGGTTTTCGATTTCTTGTTCTCTCTCTTCTCCTTCGGGCACCCCCAAGATGCGAATGTTGGCACGCTTGAAGTTATCCCAGAGGCTCCTTACTCTATCCTCATTTTTTTGGATTCTTTTTTCTTTTTGCTCTTCTGATTGGGGATTTTTTGCTTCCTTATATTCCAAATCGATGGTTTCCTCCTTGGATCTACATACTCTTATTATTGAAGCTGTGTAAATTATTCTTTATTTCAGTTAATGCCTCCTTTAATTCTAACTGTGTATCCATGATTTCTAACTGGTACTTTTTTATGCTCTTGATGCCCTCCCTAAGTTCACTGAGGTTCTCACTAAGTTCATTGAGCATCCTTATAAGCAGTATTTTGAACTCAGTATCTGTTAGGTTGCTTATCTCCCTTTCGCTTAGTTCTTTTATTGAGGTTTTGTTCTGTTCTTTCATTTGGGACCTGTTTCTTTGTATCCTCATTTTGGCTGCCTCCCTGTGTTTGTTTCTGTGTATTACTTAATGAGAGGTATGGGGCTCGCTGAGACCCGGTGCTGCTCGTTTGAAAGAATTTAGGAAAAACCTGAAGCAGGATCCAAGACCGGCCAATCCTATGGTTAAGCAAGTGGCAACAGCTTGAAAGTTGTGTGGGGTGGGGCGGGGCCTCAGGGAGTCAACAGGGTGGGGCTACGAGTGTGAGCCAGGTTGCTGGAGTCCCAGATATGGCTTCTGTCTGCCGCCCCCGGGAAGGGCTCACCAAAGGAACAAAGGCCTCTGACAGCACGTTTGTCCCCGAGGAAGCCCCCTCTCCAGCTCTCGCTCCAGTGCCAAACAGCTCAGTTCTTCCCTGTGTGTCTCTGGTGCCCCTCGAGCTGCCTCCCCTCCGAGCTTAGAGGGAGAGAGTCCGATAAGTCCGTGCGCGGGCCCTTTAAGGAGCTGCCTTGGGGCTCCAGCCACTTCAGCTTCCCTGAGCCTCAGTTTCCGCTGGTTTTTCCAGCCAGAAGTTATGGGGACTTCTCTTCCTGGCACTGGAACCCTGAACGGGACACCTGGTGTGGGACGGGGACCCCTCAGTCCTCAGGAAGGACCTTCCCAGCCTTGGGATCCTCCTGATTTTTATCCACCACGCTTGGGTGTGGGACCAGCCCGTCTCGCCGCTGCGCCGCCGCCCCCCCTCGCGCCGCTGCCCCTCCTACCGGTCTGATTGTAGCTGCTTTTTTTTTTTTCCTTAGTTCCGTAGTTGTACGACTTCCATTCAGCTTGATTTCAGGCGGTTTTGAATGATGGTTGTTCTGTAGTTTAGTTGTAACTTTGATGTGGTTGTGGGAGGACGCGATACCGCGTTTACCTACGCCATCATCTTGACCGGAAGTTCATTTAAATTATTTTTTAAGTCCGGCTGATGTAGCTCAGTGGTTGAGCATTGACCCATGCACCAAGAGGTCGGCAGTTTGATTCCTGGTCAGGACACATGCCCAGGTTGTGGGCCTGGTCTCCAGTGGGGGGCATGCAGGAGGCGGCCAATTGATGTTCTCTCTCATTGATGTTTCTGTCTCTCTCTTCCTCTTGCTTCCTCTCTCTCTCAAATCAATAAAGGGAAAAATAAATAAATAATTTTTCAGAACTGTAGAGAACTAAGGAAAAAAAAAAACAAACTACAGTGGAACTTTAGTTCTCAAATTTAATCAGTTATGAAGGCTGTTCAAGAAGCAATTTGTTCGAAAACTGAATCATTTTTTTCCCATCAGAAATAATATAAATTAATTTGTTCCAGATCCCCAAATGATCCTGTTTTAACCTTTCTTATATATAGTATATATATAATATGCAGTTTAGCCTATAAACAAAAACTTTTAAAAAATTTATTAAACCATCTCCTGCTAGCCTTAAACATTCTTCCAGGGGTGTCTTTGAGGAGGTCAGTATGCCTCATCTTCTCTTTTTCACATATCACTGCCTCCGAAATGTCACCTGCTAACTGCTTTTCCATTAGTCAAATCAACAATTTTTCAATCTCTTTACTTGCCTGTGATCATTGTTTCTTTCACACCCTTAGTAATATTAGCACTCTTGATGTCCTCTTTGTTTTAAAATTGTGCTAATCATTCATTTTGCCAGTGACAAAAACAAAAAGAAATACAAAAACAAAAAAACACAAAAATATTCACAGCACAATTTCCTGAGATGTTATTAACAAGAGGTTTAGTGGGTGAAGTGACTTGCATTCTCTCTTTTGTGGTCTGAGAGAGGCTTTTTTCATGCTGATGTATCATCATGAAAGGGTTGTCAGGTTGAGAACTGAAGTTTTTGTTCAACAAACCTGAGCAACTTGGTCGAGAACCAAATTGTTTGAGATGGCAGACATTTGAGAAATGAGATTTGATTGTATAGACAATGCTCCTGAGAATGAATTCCTTAAAATTCTATTGCTTCCCAGATTGGTAGTGGACGCTTATGATAAGTGATTGCTTATTTTATGTGGTTCTTTCCTAACTAATTATATACATGAACTTTTATTTCAGTGAATTTGGGTGGTTTGAAGGATCACATTAAGGAGATCCAGAGGTGCCGGCGTCTGATTCTTATTGCTTGTGGAACAAGTTATCATGCTGGTGTAGCGGTAAGTGGCTTCTTAAAATCTTATTTGTGTTGTGTTGGGTATTAGACGATATCTGCAAACAAATATCTCCATAACACATCTGATAAAACTATCCTTTGTTAAAGCATCATGTTATTTTTTCATGTTGCATGAAGAAATCAAGAAGGTTGTGGGAGAAATTTTAATAGATGCTTGGAATTATTTATTGATGGAACATTTGCTTTAGAAAGGTCCTTAGCTGTACAGGTAGAACCGGCAACTGACTTTGCTCATGAAAGGCAAAAAGAGGGAAAGTTCTTGCACCATTTTGGCCTTGTGGTCTAGTACACATGCCTCCTTCCACAAGAGCAGCCGTTGGATTTTGCTTCTCATTGTTCACTTGCCCCAAACAGATGACTGGTACCATGTGTGAACCTCAACAGGATTTTACTTGGCAGGCACATTTCTGCAGAGAAAGGAAGTCTGCCTTTTGTCAGACTTTGTTCTTTAAATTGTTATTTTGGAAGATGAAATTTTGTATCAAAGAAGCATGGTGGTGTTAGTACAGAAGTATAGAAATATAATGGTCTTTTAGTCCAATAAATCAGATCCACGTGTAGTTTATGTGCTGCTGATGTCAACTCCCGTAAGTACAGAAGACACTTACATACTCAATTGCTACTTTCACGATGATTCTCAAAGTTCATGACAGTAATTTTTTATTTAGTGGGGCATAAATATTAATTGTTTACACCCATGGGGGCCAGTTATTTATTGGGTAAAACTAGCTGGTCACCCAGCCCTTGAATTTCAACAGGCTTTACTCTTCTCTAAAGCTGCTCACCCCCACCCCCTCAGATTACATGGTCCTAAAAAGGAAAGTCTGCAGTATTGAAGGGAAGAGTTGTAAAAAAAAAGTGATGGTTTTGAGCATGGAAAAAAAGAATGAATTAAAGACATTAATGTAAATTAAGGGATTGGCTAATTAAGTGGTGGTTTAGATCTATTACTGAATGAAACCTTTATTCAGAAATTAAAATTTTAATTAACTGTTGTAGCTAATGCTAAGCCTGAATTTTGAGACAGAGGTTTATATGCTCTGTTAGACTATTCTAATTCTAAAATTTGAGACAATGTAAGGTATTTTTTTTTTTTTTGGTGGATGCTGAGACTACTCTAACAAACAAACATAAGAAATCTCGTGGTTTATCATACAAAATAAGTCATTAATTTTGTGTAGGTTTTTTGTTTGTTTTTGGTGGGGTCAAATGTGAATGACACATTTACATAACTACTTTTTTAGTATATACTGTGTATCCTAAATAATAACAATTCAAACAACTAAAATAATTCTAAGTATAGCTTGCTTTTCAAAATGTTTATTGCCTCTAGGTTTTTCGAGTGGTATGCAATGGAATTTAACATTAAATTAGTCTCTTATGATGGAAATATTTTATTCTGTTTATTTCAAAAAGTTTCTTCTGAAAGAACAAGGCATTCATTAGCACAGATATATCTTTTTATTAAAATATGTTTTTATTGATTTTTTTAGAGAGAGAGAATGGGAGAGAGAGATAGAAACATCAGTATGAGAAAGAAACATTGATCGGTTGCCTCCTGCGTACCCACTATTGGGGATTGAGCCTGCAACCTGGCCATGTGCCCCTACCGGGAATTGAACCAGGACCTCTTAATCCATGGGCTGACGCTCAATCCACTGAGCTACACTGGCTGGGCAGCACAGATATATCTTGAGATTACTTTTTGAGGTATATTATTGTTAAATATCAGGTAAGTTGCCAGATTTGTATCTTTCTCTTTTAATTTTGAAGAATATAGCTTCAGTGTAATGTTTATATTATAAACTGGGGCAGGAAAGTATATGTTTGAGGGAAAATATTTAGCATTTTAGTGTCAGTAATTTATGTAAAATTAGTAAATAAAATACATCAATGGAAAAGGTTAGTTAAAAGTAGGAACATTTTGCCCTGGCTGGTTTGGCTCAGTGGTTAGAGTGTCAGCCTGTGGACCAATGAGTTGCGGGTTTGATTCTGGTCAAAGGCATGTACCTTGGTTGTGGTTCATCCCCAGCCCTGGTTGGGGTCGTGCGGGAGGCAACCAGTCGATGTGTCTCTTTCACATCAATGTTTCTCTCTCTCTTTCCCTCTCTCTCCCTCCCACTCTATCTGAACAAAAAATGGAAAAATGTCCTTGGGTGAGGGTTAAAAAAAAAAAAGGAAGTTAAAGGGATATGAATAAGGAAACCTTTACATTTCTTCCCTGCTGTGATGGAGGAGGAGTGCAGAGATGGGGCAAAAAATGGGTAGGACCACTTACCTAAAGAAGCAGATGATCTACACAGTTACTATTAAAACAACTAAATGTATGCAACTGAAGGGCCTAAAATTTTTGCTGCCTAAAATTCTCTTTCTTTTTTGGCCATTTTGTTTGTTTATTTACTTCCTTTTTTCCCCACTGACCCCTCCATTCTGCTCCCACCCTCCTCCTGCCTTCCCCAGCCTAATATCTGTGTTGATTGGTTGTGCATATATGCATATAATTTCTTTGGTTTATCTCTTCCCGCTCCTCCCACTCCCCATCCCTCTGAGGTTTGTCAGTCTGTTCCCTACTTCCATGATTCTGGATCTCTCTTGGTCTTTAGCTTATTTTGTTCATTATGTTCCACAAATAAGTGAGATCATGTGCTACTGGTCCTTCTCTGACTGGCTTATTTTGCTTAGCATAATGCTCTCCAGATCCCTCCATGTCATCTCAAAGGGTAAGAGATCTCTCTTTCTTACAGCTGCATAGTATTCCATTATGTAAATGTACCACATCTTTTTTATCCACTCATCTACTGATGGGCACTTGGGCAGTTTCCAGATCTTAGCTATTGTAAATAGTGCTACTATGAATATAGGGGCACATATATTCTTCTTGATTGGTGTTTCAGGTTTCTTAGGGTATATTCCTAGAAGTGGGGTCACTGGGTCAAATGGGAGTTCCATTTTTAAATTTTTGAGGAAACACCATATTGTTTTCCATAGTGGCTGCACCAGTCTGCATTCCCACCAGCAGTGCGCTAGAATCCTCTTTTCTCCACATCCTCACCACCATTTGTTGTTTGAGGATTTGTTGATGGCTACCATTCTGGCAGGTGTGAGGTGATCCATCATAGTTGTTTTATTTTATATCTCTCTGATGGTTAGAGATGTTGAGCCTTTTTTCATATGTCTTCTGGCCATTTATATATTCTCTTTGGAGAAGTGTCTATTCATGTCCTCTGGCTATTTTTTAATTGGATTGTTTGTCTTCCTTTTGTTGAATTGTGTGAGTGTTCTATATATTTTGGATATTAACCCCTTATCCGATGTATTGTTGGCAAATATGTTTTCTCAGAGAGTGAGTTCCCTTTTCATTTTGATGCTGGTTTCTTTTGCTGTGCAGAAGCTTTTTAGTTTGATGTAGTTCCATTTATTAATTTTTTCTTTGTTTCTCTTGCCCTAGGCGAGGTATCAGTGAAAATTCTGCTACATATGATGTTTGAGACTTTTCTGCCTACATTTTCTTCTAGGATTTTTATGGTTTCACGGGTTACATTTAAATCTTTTATCCATTTTGAGTTTATTCTTGTGTATAAAATTTTATTTTTCTATTGTTTGTAATTTTCTGAAGTTTAGAGTAAAAGGAATTTGATTAAAATGGATATTTAGTAAAATGAATGCTAAGGTGCTCTTTGAGCAGAAGCATACTACCTCCTACTTTACCTTCCGTACTACAAAATTTGAAAGTAGTGAGCTTTTAAAAACTAGATCTCTGAAGTGTAATTTTTCACTGGGTATTTATCTTACTTGAAATCTCTCTGACTTGGTATTATATGAATTATCATTTAAAGATTAGGAATTGCGAAGTTAGAGATAACACACAAGCTAGTTCAGATCAGTACTTTTTCTACTTCTCAAAATATTTTATATATGGGGGTGTGTTTCCTTATAAAAATATATGCATTGATAATTGTCTAAAGAGACTGGTACCAAGATTTTAACAGTGCTTGATTCCTGGGTGGTGAGATTTTGATTATTTTATATTTTGTACTTTAATTTGTATTGTTTATATTTTCTAACAATGCACATGTTTCATTTTTATAATGAGGAAAAGTGAAAACTTTTTGAGTCCAAAGAAGGCCAGTGAAAAAGTATTTGAATCAGAGTTTTTTGACCAAATAATTTCTTCTTTATAGACACGTCAAGTTCTCGAAGAGCTAACTGAGTTGCCTGTTATGGTGGAGCTAGCCAGTGATTTCCTGGATAGAAACACACCAGTTTTTCGAGATGATGTTTGCTTCTTTATTAGTCAGTCAGGTATGTAAATTTTAAAGACTCGAAGAAAAGGAAAGGCATTCTTTCTAATAATTATCTTGGCAAAAATTGATACTTAAAGATAAAATGGTATTGCAGATGACTTGACAAATAGAAATTTATTTTGATATTATGTAATTCTTAATGAATTAATAAATGAACACATTTTATACTCAAAGAGCTGAATTTTCAAAGACAAAGAAGGAAAGGAGATCCAAAAAAGTAGTATCCTATTATTAAAGTTTTGCTCATTTATTATTTTAAGTGCTTTTTTTTTTTTTATCCTCACCCGAGGATATTTTTCCACTTTTTGTACAGATAGAGTGGGAGGGAGAGAGAGGAAGGGAGAGAGAGAGAGAAACATCAATGTGAAGGGACACATCGAGTGGCTGCCACCCACACGCCCAACCAGGGCCAGGGACAAACTGCAACCGAAGTACGTGCCCTTAGCGGGAACCGAACCCGGGTCTCTCCGGACCGCAGGCCGACGCTCTAACCGCAGAGCCAAACCGGCCAGGACTTAAGTGCACTTTTTTAAGTTTTATTTAAAACAAATTATTTTGTTGAAAGTGTAGTCAGTTGTTTGTTTTTACATATCAGAAACAGCATATATTAACTGCTGTATGTGTTACTTTTATCTTCCTTTATACACAGGTGAGACAGCAGACACTCTGATGGGTCTTCGGTACTGCAAGGAGAGAGGAGCTTTAACTGTGGGGATCACAAACACTGTCGGCAGTTCCATATCAAGGGAGACAGATTGTGGAGTTCACATTAATGCTGGGCCCGAGATTGGCGTGGCCAGCACAAAGGTAAATTCTTGACTTAGTTCTTATTTAATTATAGTGTTCATGAAACAGACTAATTTTAGTATCTTGTATTTCACTTGTTAGCTCTTATAGAACTCACAGTTTACTAATTATTGTAAGACTTAAGGATCAATAATAGATAAAACACATGACTCCCCCTCCCTCAACCCCATTTTAAAAATTCAAAAGGGCAAATGTATATAACATAAGTTTGTTCTGAAAAGTTCTGTCCCCATTCATCACTTACATTTTTCCTGCCAGGTACAGTGGTAAGTATAACGTTCCCTTCTTTTATTATGTATAGTAGGGAATGAGAAAAATAACAGATAAGGAATATTCAGTATAATTCTAATAATTTTTGTTTAGATATTTATAATTTTCTTTTTTAATCCTCACCTGAGGATATTTTTCCATTGATTTTCAGATAGAGTGGGTGGAAGGGAGGGAGGTGGGGATGGGGAGAGAGAGAGAAACATCAATGTGAGAGAGAGAGAGAGACATTGATTGGTTGTCTTCCACACGACCCAGACAGGGACTAGGGATTGAACTACAACTGAGGTACTTGCCCTTGACTAGAATTGAACCCGTGACTCTTTGGTCCTTGGGCCGAAGCTCTAACTGCTGAGCCAAACCAGCCAGGGCTATATATTTATAGTTTTTTTTCTTTATTGATTTTAGAGAGAGGAAGGGAGAGGGAGCGAGAGAGAGAAACATCAATGAGAGAGAACAATGACTGGCTGCCTCCTGCATGCCCTGCACTGGGGATTGGGCACACAACATGGGCATGTGCCCTGACTGGGGATTGAACCAGCAACCTCTTGGTGCTTGGGTCAATGCTCAACCACTGAGCCACACCGCCGGGCTACATATTTATACTTTTAAATAAATATGCCAAAATATACATAATACTTTTGAAAGTTTGTAAAGAGGAGTACACCTTTGGTATAGAATTTGGCAATTAAAAAAATAAAAATGAGCCCTGGCCGGTTTGGCTCAGCAGTTAGAGCGTTGGCCTGCGGTCCAGAGAGAGCAGTTAGTTGGGTTCCCGCTAAGGGCATGTACCTTGGTTGCAGTTTGTCCCTGGCCCTGGTTGGGTTGTGGGGGTGGCAGCCACTCAATGTGTTCCTTTCACGTCGATGTTTCTCTCTCTCTCTCTCTCTCTCTCTCTCTCTCTCTCTCTCTCTCCCTCTCCCCCCCGCTCTATCTGAACATAAAATGGAAAAATGTCTTCGGGTGAGGATAAAAAAATAAATAAATAAATAAAATTAAAAAAATAAAAATGAGTATTATATAACTATCTGGTTCTCTTTAGATACTACATTTGTGGATATTTAAAAGTACCTTTTTTTAAAAATCCTCACCTGAGGATATTTTTTGCTATTTATCTTCACAGAGTGGAAAGGAGAGAGAGAGAGAAAGAAACATTGATGTGAGAGAGACACATCAAGTGGTTGCCTCCCACATGACCCTGACCAGGGCCAGGGACTGAATCACAACCGAGGTACCTGCCCTTGACCAGAATTGAACCCAAGACTCTGGTCCACAGGCCGATGTTGTAACCGCTAAGCAAAATCGGTCAGGGAGCACCTTTTATTTTTTAAGGACTAGTGAGACTTCTTTGCTCTTTAAAATTAGGATATGCATAAATATAGTAATAAAAATAGGAATCTTAAAAAGTGTATAAATGCAAAGATGTTCTCTCTTCACAAATGTATTACTCTTATGATGCAAAATTTCAGTTGTCTTTTTCTGCTTAAGTTCACTATTTCTTGTTGATTGATAAGATCTTAGGTATTAGTGTATTTGATTCTAATTAAAGGCGTGTGGAAGATGATGTTAATATGTACATAACTGCATTTAAATATTTTTTCCTTTTAAAGAAACTTACGGAGACATTTTTATGTGGAAAATTTGTGATTCTTATGTAAAAACGTTGATGAGGTTTTTGTTTCTTGGTTACTTTGATACTGGAAACACTATAATTTACAGAAAGCTGAAACCTGAATTTTCTCTATGTGGTAATTAAAACATGTAAGATGTTTGTACTTGGATTTCCAGTCTGTGCCTGAATAAATAACCAACTGCTCTAACAGGAGTGTGTGGATTTTTGGACAGCTTTGATTGGGGATTGGAATCCCAGGGCTCTTTTATTCACAACACATTGTGAAGCAGAGGGTTCAACATGGTATATGTACATCCATCAACTGAATGGATGCTTTTGACTTACTTTTTATTAAATCTTTCTTGAACTATGAGTTGCCATGGGAAATACAACTTTTTTTATTTTTAATTGTATAACTTATAGTTTAATTTTGTTCAACATTTTTTTTGGGGGGGAATATATCTTTATTGTTGAAAGTATTACAGATGTCCCCCCTCCTTTTATTTTCTCGATTGACATCACCCTCCCCATTCCCATGCCCTTCCACCCCCATACACACCTTCATTGCACTGTTGTCAGTGTCCACTGGTTATGCTTATATGTGTATAGGCATAAGGTCAGTCTGTTCCCTACTTCCGTTACTCTGGATCTTGATTTGTTTGACAGCTTATTGTGTTTGTTATATTCCACAAATAAGTTAAGTGTGCTCAACATTTTATTGGGATAATTTTCAAACATAACAGCAGAATTAAAAGAGTTTTACATTTACACTTATATCATCACCTAGATTTTACTCTTAACCTTTTTTTCTGTAGCTTTATTGAGGTATAATTTTCATACCATAAATAACACTCATCAGTTTTTAAATGTACAGTTTGAGTAAATTTAGCTCTTTAACTATAATCACAATCCAGTTTTAGAAGACTTACTCCCTTGAAAAAGTTTTTTTGTGCCCTGTTATAGTCAGTCCTCACTTCTACTCCTCAGCCAACTACTATTGCCTTCTCTTATTGTATTATATCATTTTCTAGAAAGTTCTTATAAAGGGAATTATATAATATATGTCTTTTGTGTCTGGCTTATTCCATTTAACATGAAGTTTCTGAGATTCATGTTATTTTATCATTGGTTCTTTTTTTATAAGTCTTTTTTTTGAATTTATCTTCAGATAGTGTGGGAGGGAAAGAGGGGGGAAGAGAGAGAGAGAAACATCGATGTGAAAGAGACATATCAACCAGCTGCCACCCACATGACCCCAACCAGGGCCGGGAACAAACTGCAAGCGAGGTACGCGCCCCTAGTGGGAACTGAACCTGGGACTCTCTGGTCCGCAGGCCGATGCTGTAACTGCTGAACCAAACTGGCCAGGGCTATAAGTCTTTTCTTATAAAAAACTTCTTATTTTGAAATCACAGAGAAGTCCATATACTCTTCACCCAGTTTTCCCCAGTGGTTACAACTTACATAAGAAAATAAGTATCTTTTTACAGTACACACTTTAATTTCTTTAAAAAAATGACTCCCTTAAAAATTTTAGTAAGTATGGTATTTTAATTTTACTTTGATTTTTCTTGGGTTCTAAATTAATTTTGTTTTCTTCAACCACCTTAGACAGTATTGAAATGATCAGTCTTGGGATGTTCAGTCATAGACCATTTCTGAATGGCAAATACAGGTTGATATGTTAATGTGTGATCAAAGAAGCTCATCATTGATCTTGATCTCTGGGCCCCGTGATGGAGATAGCACAAGAATACTACAGTCTTGATGATGAATTCCCAGCTTTGCCTGAAAAACTGTTAGGGTTAGAGAGATATTATTAACTTTCTATAATATCAGACCATCGACATTTTGGTATATCTGTAGGAATTGATGGGTATAAATGTGCAGGTTCAGCAATTTTTGTATATTATTGCAGGTGTTTAGAATTTCACCACCGTACTGACTTTTATTGATTTTTTAAAATAAACCAATTTAACTTTATTTTTGGCTACATGAAAAGTAAAACCAAGTTTAAAAGTTCAGTGTCAATATTTTCCTGGTAAATTCTTTCAAACCTCAGTAAATTAAAAAATGTGAGGTGTAACTTATTTTTCTCAGAATTGGTTTCCTGGTATTTATTGAGGAAATGAAAAACATGAAATTGAAATTAAGTTCTGATAGGAATGCAATGGAAAAATGTGTGCATTAAAGTACTCTGTTTAATATTTATACTTGAAAACCAGTGTTGAGATGTTTCAGGTCCAAACAAAGAAACATTATTTTGTAGAATAACATTTTTAGTTATGGTATAGAGAAACTGGAATACTCATTATCTGATCAGTTTTGATTGGAAACAGTATGTACCCTTGACCAGAATCGAACCTGCGACTCATTGGTCCATGGGCTGACGCTCTTAACTACTGACCCAAACCAGCCAGGGCTATACAGTTGAACTTTAAAAATGTTTTGAGTGAGCCCTGGCCGGTTTGGCTCAGCGGTTAGAGCGTCCGCCTGCGGTCTGGAGAGACCCGGGTTCGGTTCCCGCTAAGGGCATGTACCTCGGTTGCAGTTTGTCCCCGGCCCTGGTTGGTCGTGCGGGTGGCAGCCACTCGATGTGTCCCTTTCACGTCGATGTTTTCCTCTCTCTCTCTCTTGTTCTCTCTCCCTCCCACTCTATCTGTACAAAAAATGGAAAAATGTCCTCGGGTGAGGATTAAAAAAAAAAAAAAATGTTTTGAGTGAAACTTAAAAAAAAAAAAAAAAAAAAGAAAAGAAAAAAAGTTGGGAATGAGGAACAGACAATAGGCAAAGGTGAAAATCGAAGAACAGTTTAAAAAATAATCCAACAGAACCAGTGCCAGGTATGTCAAGAAGAGTCCTTTAAACCCTTGCTTTTAACTTACATTAAAACTTAATTTGATTATATATATGCAGATTCTCTCTCAACTCATTTCCTTTGGCATCTTTCTCTAGTGTATTAGGGATTTCATAAGCATCCAGTGCATTGGAAGGAACTTTTATTTTGTATCTGGAAATAAAGTTTAAGTTATTTGTTCAAAATAGTGATAGATTTCCTAAGCACTGGTTCAGTTCATTGTTACTAATGCTGTTTATTAAAAAATGGACAATATTGTCCTGTCCGGTTTGGCTCAGTGGTTGGAGCGTCGGTCTGCGGACCAAAGAGTCCCGGGTTTGGTTCCCACTAGGGGCACGTACCAAAAAAAAAAAGGACAATATCCCTGGCTAGGTGACTCGGTTGGAGTGTCATCCCACACAGCAAAAAGGTCGTGGGTTCGATTTCTAGTCAGGGCACATACCTAGGTTGTGGGTTTGATCTCCGGATGGGGTGCGCATAGGAGGCAACTGATTGATGTTTCTCTCTTCCCCCTTCCTCTCTGTAAAATCAATAAACATCCTGGGTGAAGATTTAAAAATTAATTAAATTAAATAAAATAAAGAATGGACAATATATGCTTATAAAACCAGTGAGAATGTGTTCACACCTTTTTTTATTGAAAAAATTCCAAGTTCTTAAAATGCAACTGCTTTTTTGTGATGTTTCAGGCTTACACCAGCCAGTTTGTATCCCTTGTGATGTTTGCCCTTATGATGTGTGATGACAGGATCTCCATGCAGGAGAGACGAAAAGAGATCATGCTTGGATTGAAAAGGCTGCCTGGTATGAAGATACTCTCATGCTATACTTTTGTTTCTCAAGGAGTCAGTAATGGGTGAAATTCTCTTCTTATCCTTGAAACTATGGCTTGTTGCTGTTTAGTCAACAAATCTTTCTACTTTTGCACCTTTGTACTTAAAAATCCCTCACTGAAATCACAAAGAAGTAGAAACACTGGTCTTTGTCGGTTGCTACCAATATATTATTGTTTTTATATTGGTTCTGTTTATTGTCCTTTTTTCATAGATGTTGGTAATGTTACTTTTTAACAGATTTGATTAAGGAAGTACTGAGCATGGATGATGAAATTCAGAAACTGGCAACAGAACTTTATCATCAGAAGTCGGTTTTAATAATGGGACGTGGCTATCACTATGCTACTTGTCTTGAAGGGGCATTAGTAAGTCTTCTTATAATTTCAGTCTATTCACTTATGGACCTGACACATAGTCATACTTATAGATTGAATGAAACAGGTGAAACTTTTACAAGTGCCTTTGTTTTTATGCATTCTGATTTGTTTACCTTGAGAAGGTGTAACAGTTGATACTTAATGCAAAAGTGAAAACCAAGAAGAGTACATTTCAGCATGATAACATGGGTTTTGCAAGTAACTTTGCTTAATTTGTTGTCCAAATATAAATAAAATAAAGATTAAGTTCTCTAGGTGTAGGATTTAATTCAGGTCAAACATTAACCAGGTAGAACAGTTACAAAGAAATATGAGTACATTCATGATAATTTAAAATCTTGAAAAAGTCCTTGTGGAGTTTAAAACTTCCAGTCACTTGTTGATATTATAGAAACAATGATCTGTTAGCCTGATTTACAGATCAGTGGTCCTTCAATACTTTTGGATAAATAGACATTGACTTTAGACATAGAATGTTTTGTGTAATATTTACTTAAGAATGGGTTTTTGAAAAAGACTGAAGACTAATCTAGTTCTTTCCTATTAGAAAATCAAAGAAATCACTTACATGCACTCTGAAGGCATCCTTGCTGGTGAATTGAAACACGGCCCTCTGGCTTTGGTGGATAAGTTGATGCCTGTCATCATGATCATCATGAGAGATCACACTTATGCCAAGTGTCAGAATGCTCTTCAGCAGGTGGTTGCCAGGCAGGTAAGCCAGGGGCTGCTGTGAGGATGCCTTGGGGTCTAAGAGTTGGACCACTAAAGCTTATTTGAATTTCATGACATTTAAAGGGCCCAACAGGCCCTGCTGGTTTGGCAGAGTGATTAGAGCGTCAGCCTGCGGACCAGATTCCTGGGTTCAGTTCCTGCTAAGGGCACGTACTTCGGTTGCAGTTTGTCCCTGGCCTCAGTTGGGGTCGTGTGGTTGGCAACCAGTCGATGTGTCTCTCTCACATGATGTTTCTCTCTCTCTCCCTCCTTTTCTCCTGCTCTATCTGAAGATTAATGCAAAAATGTCCTCAGGTGAGGATTTAAATAAATAAATAAATAAATAAATAGCCCAATAGATAGCTTACAAAACATGTTTAGCTTTACATGTAAGGAATTTGAGATTCTCAAGAGTCTCAAATTGACAGGACCCAGCTCATAAATTTCATAGTAGGCAGAACCAAGACCAAAACTGAACTCTTGGTCTCCGAATCTTGTCCTCGTCAATTAGCTTCTATTTTCCCTTTTAATTTAATATTCTAAATGTATATTTCAGGAGGAACTAGATTTTACATTAAAACTGCGGGTGCTGTGCTTAACTAAGTTTTCTTCAGAACATTTGGCTTTATTTATAAATCCCAAAAGGTATTAATCTCTACTCAAAATGTAGTTGTTATGAACTTGGGCATTGAAAGCAGGCAGACCTGGAATCACGTACAGATGGTTCCTGACTTATGATGGTTTGACTTAAGATTTTTCCACTTTACAATGGTGTGAAAGCAATATGCATAATAAATTACGTGAGTTATTCAAAATTTTGTTATAGGCTTTGTGCTAGATGATTTTGCTCAATTGTAGGCTAATATGAGTGTTTTGAACTTTCTAAAGGTATGAGCTTTCTAAAGGTATGCTAGGCTAAGCTATGATGTTTGGTAGGTTAGGTATATTAAATGCATTTTTGGCTTATATTTTCTTTTTATTAATTTTTAATTTTTTTTCTTTATTTATTTTAGAGAGAGAGGAAAGGAGAGGGAGAGGGAGAGATAGAAACACTGTTGAGAGAGAACATCCATTGGCCACCTTCTGCATGCCACCTACTGGGGATCTGGCCCACAACCTGGGCATGTGCCCTGACCGGGAATCGAACCCATGACCTCTTGGTGAATGGGTCGAAGCTCAACCACTGGAGCTATACCAGCCGGGCTGGCTTATATTTTCAATGTACAATGGGTTTATAAGTAGGGGAGCATCTATACTGAGTCTGGTATTTCTTAGTAGTGTGAGTTTAAATAAATTCCTGACTCCCGCAAAGCTTCCATTTCCTTTAAGCGAGATAAATCTGATTTACCACATAGGATTGTGAGTTTAAGTCTTATGTCAGTGAGGCCACATGTGAATTGTTGAGTGCAAAATTTTCACATTCACTTGCTACAGCTCTGCCTTTGCTTTCCAGTGATTGTGTGTGGCTTTCTTTCCTAGGGACGCCCAGTGGTGATTTGTGATAAGGAAGATACCGAGACCATTAAGAACACAAAAAGAACAATCAAGGTGCCCCATTCAGTGGACTGCTTGCAGGGCATTCTCAGCGTGATCCCCTTACAGTTGCTGGCTTTCCACCTTGCTGTGCTGAGAGGCTATGATGTAAGTGGTAGACCATTGCAGATATCTTGGGCTGGCTTTTTATCGGAGCACATTCTGATAGTTTTCCTTCTAAATATTTAACAATAACATTTGAGGAATCCATCAGATACATATCTGTCTCCTGTTACATTTGCACAGCCCAATTTGTAGGTTACATCGTAACATTTTCTTACCCATAGAATTTAAAGTAATCTTGGAGATTATTGCCACCATTGGAGATTACCTTCTTGGGGAAGCTCCACCTGTTTTTATTCTGTTTCCTAATTCTTTGTTTTAGGACTATCTCACATATTGCAGGACTTCTACAGTTCTTGGTTCCCCTAGTCATTGTGACAACCAAAACATCCTGCTCTTATACTTTTACTGTCCCCTCAGAGGGCTGCCACCTCTATAAAGGACCACTGGAACTCTGGCTCCTTTAGAATTCTTTTTTCTAACTGACTTCAAGTTTTCTAAAGATATGTTATGTGCCCTGGCCAGTTTGGCTCAGCGGTTAGAGCGTCGGCCTGCGGTCTGGAGAGACCCGGGTTCGGTTCCCGCTAAGGGCATGTACCTCGGTTGCAGTTTGTCCCCAGCCCTGGTTGGGTCGTGTGGGTGGCAACCACCCGATGTGTCCCTTTCACGTCGATGTTTCTCCCTCTCTCTCTCCCTCCCACTCTATCTGAACAAAATATCAAAAAATGTCCTCGGGTGAAGACTAAAAAAAAAAAAAGATATGTTATTTGACTGTATAATCTAATCTAATTCTTTGTAGTCTGTAATAAAGATGGTTAATAAACACATTTTCTGTTTTTACAAACAAAAATAATTTGCTTATAGGATCCCCCCCAGTTTTTTATAATTTCTTTAATCTTGTTCTTAATCTCTTTAATCTTTTTTTGCAGGTTGATTTCCCCCGGAATCTTGCCAAATCTGTAACAGTAGAATAAGGAACATCTGAAATCCTGGGCGATTAAGCATCAAAAGACACCTTTTGTATTTAAAACCTTGATTTAAAATATCACTCCTTTAAGCCTTTTTTTAGTAAATCCTTATTTATATATCAGTTATAATTATTCCACTCAATTTGTGATTTTTGTAATTACCTTATATTTTTCCAGTAATTTGTGGGGGAGTTTGAAAAATGGAATCTATATTCAAATCAGTATCAGAAACAGATTTAGCTCTCATTTTCTTGAAAAGATTCTGGGTGCTGGATTTCAGGACCCTCTACTTCAATCTGAGAGGATTGTGTGCTTTAAAAGTAATTGGCATTTGTCTTACCATGCTTTTATTAATTCAGACCAATGAAAGAGGAGTGCATCTATTAAGATCTAAAGCAGTGGTTCTCAACCTTCCTAATGCCATGACCTGTTAATACAGTTGCTCATGTTGTGGTGACCCCCAACCATAAAATTATTTTCATTGCTACTTCATAACTGTAATTTTGCTACTGTTATGAATTGCCATCGGAAATATGTGTTTTCCCCTGGTCTTAGGCGACGCCGGTGAGAGGGTCGTTCGAACCCCAAAGGGGTCGCGACCCACAGGTTGAGAACCGCTGATCTAAAAACCAGTCGCAATGAACTTGGACATTTGATTAAGGTTTTGCTAAGTTATATTACAGACAAGATGCTGTGATTTATTTTGAAATTTCTGTACTTAAAAATGGAAAACGTTTCTTGGCGGAATTTCTACCTAAGTTAGGTTAGCATTAGTCTCTTATATTTGTTGTTTGTTATCGGTAGTTTAGGAAGCTAAATAGTATATTAGTGCATTGTTTTTGTCCAGCCCTTAACAGAAAATATTTGTACAATTTCAGAGCACAAACTTTAAATTTGAGCTGCTTTGAACAACTGACATATTGGATATCCGACTGTTTTTTCATCTCCTAAAAGTGGTTTTTATTTCCTTGTATCTGTACCTTTTTTAACTCACCGCTGAAGGACATATTTTATCTTCCTCTTTGAAATCACCACACAGAGTTGTCATCAAATGTCTCAAATTAAATCAGTATTGATATATTTAGAATTCTTTTCAACTTTGTCCCAAAGAATTTCCTGCAGTTAATTTAACTTCCCTTTACTGACTTGTATAAAACTAGTCTAGTACCTTCCTGTGAATTTGGAAGCTCTTTGCAATTGTTTGGAAGATTTGCAAGTCTTTTGACAAATCATTTGACTATATGGTGATCGAGGCTTAGGAAAAGCTGTATGCTTTACACTGAAATTAATGAAGGATTTCATCAAATTTAGTACAGGCATACCTTGGAAATATTGCAGGTTTGTTTCCAGACCATCATAATAAAGTGAGTATTGCATAGATGAATTGTAATCTTTTTGTTGGTCGAAGGTCTCACCTTCAGTTTAAAAACACAACACCTGTGAAGCACAATAAAGTGAAGCACAATAAAGCGAGGTATGCTTGCATTACTTTCTAGGTATTTTTCTCTCTGTATTTTCTGTGTTCTATCCCTTAAATTTATTTAGGAATGAAGAAGATATAAATAAAGTGATATTGAGGTGACTTTAGCTGGTTAGTGTTAGAAATGGAACTTAACAATTTAGATTAAAATATTTAGAGTAGTCTGGCCTGTGTGGCTCAGTGGTTGAGTGTTGACCCATGCACCAAGAGGTTGCCAGTTTGATTTCCAGTCAGGACACATGCCCAGGTTGTGGGCCCAATCCCTGGTGGGGGGCATGCAAGAGGCAGCCAGTCAATGTTCTGTCTCATCAATGTTTCTATCTATCCCTCTCACTTCCCCTCTCTCTAAAATCAATAAAGAAAAAAAAATAAAGTAGTTAGAGTAGGCTACAAGTTTGATACTTAAAAAGTTGTAATTTCCTCGTGGATCCTTTTTGGCCAGATCTTGGAGGTTATAGCACAGTATTTATGTTTTGATTAAGTCCTTCTCTTTCAAAAGTTTTCACTTTAAAATTGTGAAGATATGGTATTTAGCATAATTATCTAAGGTCAGTCTTTTCCTTTTTTTGTGTTTGAACTTCTTGATGAGGTTAAGACTTTCTGACAGCTTTTACTGCAAGAGAAGCATAGAAGTAATTTGGGAGGACTCTCATTGATGGAATAGAAGCCTGATTGTTTTTAAAAATGAAATAGGATTACTCTTTGCATCATATGTATAGTTACTATAGATATTTATCTATTTTAATTGTTTCTAAGATTATTTTGTGTATGCCTGCTAGTTTTAGTGTGTAAATAGTGTCATTTTGTATGCTTGTTATATTAGCATTTTACACGATTTGTATGGGTTTGTAGCATTTCTTGATTTCGATGCAATATCTAGCCTGTCAAATTAATCTAAAGAGCAGTCAAGGTTTCTAAATTCTTGAGTCTAAAGGGCCAAGATTCAGAGATTCCCAACATAGATTTCACAGTGTTAAAAAATAAAATTTCGCCCTGGCCAGTTTGGCTCAGCGGTTAGAGCGTCGGCCTGTGGTCCAGAGAGACCCGGGTTCGGTTCCCGCTAAGGGCACATACCTCGATTGCAGTTTGTCCCCAGCCATGGTTGGGTTGTGCAGGTGACAACCACTCAATGTGTCCCTTTCATGTCAATGTTTCTCTCTCTCTCTCTCTCTCCCTCTCTCACCCTCCTACTCTATCTGAACAAAAAAATGGAAAAATGTCCTCGGGTGAGGATAAAAAAAAAAAATAAAAAAAAAAAAATAATAAAATTTCACCTAGTAAATTTGAAGCTCTAAGTGGCTTTATTTAAATGGGTACTGCATTGGGCAGCCTCCCGTCTGGCACCTGGAAGGGTGTGCCCTGTAAACTTTCTTACCGATCTAAAGTTTGAGTCAGCCTTCTGAGTGAAAACTAATACGTAATCAATCATTAGTTTTCACAATCTCAACCCCCTTCTCCCTCTGCCTAACACATACTTCAAAATAGGATAAGTTCTTAACCAAATATAAAAAACTAATGGTAAGAAAAAAGAAGTGATATTTTCCAAACATGGTTTCTCCTTCCTGTCCCTTCTTGCTTCCTACCCCATTTAATGTAGTGATTTTTAAATTCTTTTGAGTTATGAACATGAAAAGGACACTGTAGTGAGGCAAGCCACTAAGTGTGCCTGCCCAATTAAAACCAATGCAATGCAGGTACGAAAATCTGATTTGCAAGAAAGATATTCTATAAGAGAAGTCCTTTATATAAAAAGTTCTTTCTTGTAGTACATTAAAGTTTAAATTCAATCATATGTAGTATAGAGTTCCTTATCCCAGGCCATGAGCCATTTTTAGACATGGGGTCATGTGTAGCTTTTAACACGGCTTGTGACATGATTCTTACTTCGGGGTCAGCCCTTTGATCCTTCTTTAATCACCTATGCCATAGGAATAAATTATAAGAGAGAAGTTAATATTAAAAGATTTTAGTTTAACTGTATCAACAGCCTCTTATGGGCAAGTCACTGTGCTAGGAACTGAAAAGTGCATCTTGTTTAAAATAAAGCCTATTTGTCCCCAGATGGACTCATCACTAGTGAAGACTGGGATGATTGAAAAGGACAGGGTGAGAGAGTGGTGAAATGGAGTTGAGCTGGGTTGTTAAATGTCGTGAATGGATCTGTTCACTTAAATCATGGTCCAAGTTTTGGGGTGTATCATGTTCATGAGAGGTGAAATAAGCCACTACCACAGACTGTAGACCCCTGGATATGCAGTACTCTAAAGAACAGCACTCATTAAATGCAAAGGTGAAAAACAAGCCAGTACTACTAAAAGGGAACTGACACAAGGGGGTGTGCCGATGGGGCTGTTGGGTAAGGGAGCAGTCACAAATTTTCTTTCTTCAGTTTTATAGAAAATTGTTTCTGAGATGGTATTGTCTTCTTTTGAATACAAGTCACTTGGCCTGAGTTAATTATGCACATGGGAGGAAAGGAGCCTTTTTTAGCTCCTGGGTAATTTTACTTTATACTTCTGTTAACTCTTTAAGGGAGGAAAACCAGCTGAAAAGTTTGCTTTAACAAACATTTTAAGTAGTCCTTTGGGGTCAATTTTCTCTCTCTCTTTTAAAAATTAGAACATACTATAACAATAAAAGGAAAACACTAATGTTAACTAAGGTATGATACAACTTAAGTGACTTTTCTGAAAAAGCACAATGTCATTGAAAAGTGTTTATTGAAAAAGAATTTATAGTTCACATTGAATATGTGAAGGCCAAAGAAATTGAAGGGAATAGTAGGTTAAAAAAAAAAAAAAAGGATACTGTAGTCTTATATCCACATATTTTGTCGATTTTCTTTATACCAGAATACCAGATAGACTGTTTTACCCATGAAAGCATATTTCAGATTGCTTATTTTGTTTTTAGTGTTAGAATCAAGTTTAGAAGTTTTAACCCCTATATCAGTTTTCTCCCACAATGTTTAAAGATTGTTAATATTATCAGCATTTCCTTTGCTTGATTAATTTAACCACATCTTCAGATCTGTGACACGACAACCCATAGGACTGATAATATTAGCTTCACGCCAATAATATTCAGGGTTAAAATAAAAACCATAGTTAATTAGCAAAATGGTAAAGTTATAGCATATTAACTTGTAGGTCTGTAATAGGCTAAAGTGTTAAAGGAATATAGCATAAATAATGATTAGTGAGAACATTTTAGGAAATTCTAGAATTATCTTTCTTACTATACCAGTTTTCAAAATGAATATAGAAATGATCCTGTTAGCTTTTTAAATGTTCTGTGATTGAAATTTTTTTGTTTAAATAAAACTTTTGGTATTTGTTTATATTTCTTGTTAGCTGGAAATTTTAGAATCGTCCTTGCTTTGTTTAAGTTTTCTGTTCTTTAAAATGAATGTTTAGTTAACTGAGCCAATTGGTCATTTCTTCCTCATGTCTTGTAAGTCCAGTGATTCTAATCCTGAACTGTGAATAAATTACCAAAACTTCCTGAGAATTGAATTTTGAAGCAATTGGCAAATATTAGAGATGCATACGTTTGTAATTGTGTCAAAGATTGTATTGTACTAAGAATGTGGCCAATGTTTAGTTGTTAGTAAACATTTCTGATGTTAAAACTTTATTTGTTATTGTTGCTTTTAAACAGAAGAATGATTGCACTTAATATAATCAAAAGCTCCATGTGTCCACTCTAACTTGTTTTAGAAAGGATTAAAACAAGGCTCTACTCTTATGATGTCTCACACTGCATGCATGTACTTCCTCAAGTCTTTAAAATTTTTTTTGCAGTAATGTGTTGCTGCTAGCAAATTTCCAGGGTACATAATGATCAGTAACTTTAACTGATGGTTGCAAAAGAAGGATATTTAAGGTGAGTGAATGGCAAGACAGCATGTCCAGTTGACTTTTTTTTTTTTTTTAAAGTATGTTTTCATATATTTTCTAGAGAGAGAGAGGAAGGAAGAGAGAGGTAGAAACGTAGAAACATCAGTGTGAGAGAGAAACATCCATGGCTGCCTCCTGCACACCCCCTACTGGGGATAGAGCCCACAACTCAGGCATATGCCCTGATCTGGAATCGAACCAGGACCTCTCAGTCCATGGGACGATAATTAATCCACTGAGCCACGCTGGCCGTGCTCCAGTTGACTCTTGAACAACAGGTTTGAACTGAATGGGTCTGCTTAGATGCAGATTTTTTTCAATAGATACTGTAAATGTATTTTCCTTATGATTATCTTCATAACATTTGCTTTTCTCTAGTTTCCTTTATTGTAATAGTACAGTATATAATACATAAAACATACAAAATTTGTGTTAATCAACTTTATGTTACCAGTAAGGCTTCTAGTCAACAGTGGGCATCAGTAGTTAAGTTTTGGGGGGAGTCAGAAGTTGTATGTGGATTTTAGACTGGGGTGTGAGTATTAGCACTCCTAACACTCATGTTGTTCAAGGGTCAACAGTATTCCAAATTAAAGTTTCTGTAGATCTGGCAATTTGTTAATTATAGAACAAAGATTCCTTTTATGTGATCCTCTTAAACATCAAGCTAGAATCTGTTCTTAGTGCTCACAGCAATTGCTGTGTTTTGTAGGAGGCCAAGTTATACCAGGGTGGTTTGAATGAATAGATGTGCTGTTTTGCCTGCCTGGAGAATTAAGCCCAGTCTCTTGTCTCTTTCACTGTGCTGCTTCTCGGCAAAGCCTAGAGCTGCCACCCAGCAGGGATCATTTTTTCCACAGGCCACATTTTTTATGTAAAGTTCAGCTTTACTCCTAGTGAATAATTCTTTAAATTCTCCTCAATTGGCTATCAGTAAACTGTGCTTATTAAAGGCCAAGAAACAATTTCTCTAAGGGTTAAGAGTCCACTTTTCATTGGAGTGGCATTTAGGGAAAAACAGATTCTTTGACTTTTTTGGGATGTGAGAAAGAAGTCCTTATTAAGTTTCATTAATTCAAAGGTAAATTGTTAACCCCTCACTTTCAAAAATTATGTAGGAGCTTTATTAGCCTAACAAGCATCCTGGAGCTGTACAAACTAATCTTTTAGTAATATACAGAATTGCCAGGTTACAGGTCATTTAACTAGAACCCTTCCCAGGAAATATATATGTAATGAGATAAATTCATTTTTCTCTTTTTGGTTAGC